ATGGGTTGGGTTTGAATGGGAAAGCCCCCAACGTGGGGCAGCCGAAGGAGGTTGCTCTGCAGAGGCACCACCCAGAGCCCTGCACGACCTTGGGACAGAGGAGGGGACAGTGGGGTGTCCCGGCCAGGCACGGGGCAGAAGGCAGCCCGGGTGGGGGGATGTCAGAGCCCCCCCTTTGCAGCGAGGTGCGACAGCCACACGCTCGGCTGCACAGGAGATGCTGAACCTCACCCAGCACCCCTGCGAAGCGATGGGGGTGTGGGGGAGAAGCGAGGGTGGGACCCTTCCGCAAAGCCACCCACCGCCGCAACCCCCCCACGTTCCCACGTGTGACAGCTCTGAGCCCCACAGAAGCTCCGACGACCGGGCCAAAACACCCCGTGCCTCCTCTCGCTCCCTGGCCCCGGGGCACACCCGCGGTTGGACTTTCCAAATTACTCAACCCTCCCTGCTCCAGCGCCTAGCACCCGTCCTCAGGGTCAGGTTTTTTTTCGGTGCTCAGCCTCCCCGGGGGACGCTGGCGGTCAGGATCTCACCGGCACGGCAGCTCCGGCACTCGGTTTCTATGCAAATCTCAGCTTCCTCTACGTTGAGCCCCCGGCACAGCGTGGCTGGCTGCGCGACGGCGTGGGTGGACGTGCACCCAGCTGCACACCGGCACCGATCCTGCGTGGGGGCTCAGCTAGGCAAGGAGGGGCTGGAGCTCTGTATACACTCAGGAGAGCCAAGCAATGTAAAACACGACACCTCCCCGGCCTCAGCATCAGCACCCAGGGGAAGGGTGCTGCCCAGGGGTCTGGGTGAGCCCCGCGGGACGGATCCTGCTGCTGTGATTGCAGCTGTATCCGCGCCACACGCTGCGCAGGGCTGTCCCCTGCTTCCACGGGGCTCCCCCTGATCCAGATGCTCCCGCAGCCAAACCAGCGGGGTGCACTGAGGACATGCAGCAGACGGCGTGTACCACCCCCCGCCCCCCTGCCCACAGCACCCTGTTGGGGTGCAGGGGGCTTGGCTGGCCCCACGTTGCGCACCAGACCCGGCCCAGCCTGCAGTGGGAACTGACTCCTTAGGCTGCTCAACCTGGATCAGCCCCCAGGATTTACACGCTGTGGGAGAGAGCCACAGCCCAAGGACACACCACAGACACAGGCCGGTCACACGCAGCCCCTCGAGAGCACCCGACACGCAGGGAAACACCTCACTCAGGACGGGGCCGTGGGTGCTGCTGCTGCTGCTGCTACAAGGTGGTCCCTTCCCGTGGCTCAGCACCCCGGGAACCCTGGCCTGGCCAGCACCCCGGCCTCGCACACGCATCCCTTGCCCTGCAGCCCGGGGTGCCGGCGCGCACCGGCTGCACACGCATCCTCCGCACGCATCCAGGCAACGCTCGCGCACGCACGCGGAGCACCGACTTACACTGCAGCACACGGGGAGGGTTGGCGGCCCGGCTGCATGGCTGGAAAAGCACCTCCTTTCCGCTCCCACCTCTCCCCGACCTGGCTTCACTTGGTATTTAGGAGGGTGCTCCCAAGGCGAGGTGGGGCAGGCGCCTCGCCGGGGCGGTTAACCTGGGAGAGCCGGGTACCCCATTTGCCAGGCAGGTTTCCCTCACCCCACAGCTCCCTGCTACCCTCTCCATCCTGCTTTGGGAGGAAAGATTAATGTTTCTTGCTCGCACTAGTGCTAGTTTACCCCGGCCCAGATCCTCTGAACAATTACATTCATGCTTGGCCTTACACACACAAATAGCTGCGGTTAAGTCAATATATCTCCTTCTCTTAGGGGTAATAGCTCGCATATCTCTGGAGTTTACTGTTAAATACCCGCATGAACATTTCTGCAAGTTCAGGATCCAGAGCTGCGTACTGCAGGAGCAGAGGGAGCATCGCAGCTCGCTGCAGCACGCCCAGCATCCTCGGAAATGCTTTCTGCCCCCACGCACTGTACCTAAAGCCCATGCCTGCCCCGTGGCTTTGGTGGGACGAGCTGACCCTTCCCTGCCGCATTCGAGCGCTGGCCTGTCCCTGTCCCTGTCCCCGTCCCTGTCCCCGTCCCTGTCCCCGCGGGGGGGGCTCTGACATGATGGGAAAGAGCAGAAACCCCAGCCCTGCCTCTCTACTTTGCTGACGGGCAACTTTGCAATTTGACGGGGACCGGTTTCATTGTTCTGCTCGTAAAAATAACCCAACTTTCCGCCCCCCCTCCCTTTCCCAGACGGCGCATTTCAAGAGGCCAGACCCCGCACTGCGCCCTGGGGGTGCAACGCCCGGGACATCTCCCCCCACCTCTCCTCTCCCTCCCACCCCCCACCCCCCCCCACACACACCCCCTTCCACTGCCTCCCCGGGGCTTTTGGGGTTTTCAGTGCTGGAAAAAACACAAGGCTGGGCTGGAGCGTTGCGGGAACGACTCGCAGCTGCCTTGTGCGCGACCCGATGGACCCCCCACATCTCCTCCCAAGAGGTGAAAAAAAAAAAAAAATATATATATATATATATAATTTTTTTTTTTTTTTTAGGGGGAAAACCCGGAACGAGCCGCTCATTGGAGGAGCCGGCCTGCTCCCACCACCCGCCTGTGTCGTTCCACCCCCCCCGCCGTGGCTCTCCCCGGGGCTCAGCCCTACCTGCTCCCGGCGGGCTGCGGCGGCGGGGCCGGGCTGGGGCCGGGCGGCGGCGGGGGCCGCGCCGCGGCGGCGGCGGGAGGAGGGAGGGAGGGAGGGAGGGAGGGAGAGGAAGGAGAGGAAGGAGAGGAGGGAGGGAGGGAGGGAGGGAGGGAGGGAGGGAGCACGGCGGCGGACAATGGAGGGGCGCAGCGCGGCGCGGGGCCATCTCCCGGCGGCCCGCCGCATTGCACGGCACCGGGGGCCGGGGGCGAGGCGGGGCTGTCGTCCCCCCCCCCCCCCCCCCCCAGCCTCCGGTAGCCCCCCCGGCTTTCCCCTCCATGGCCGCGGGATGCTGCCAGCTCTGCGCCCCCCCCCCCCCACGCCTCCATCCTGCACTTCGCCGCTCCTTTGCCCGCCCCTTCCCCAAAACGCTGCAGCCCCCCATCTTTGGGGGGGGGGGGGCAACGACGGGGGTCCCCCCATCAGCACCCACCTCCCGCCGTTCTAGTATCTCCAGGGGTGCGGGTGCTGAGGGTGCTGAGACACCCCACGGGGTGCTCATGCTGGTCCCCAGAGTCCCTTCAGTTTGGTTGGGGGGCGGGGGGGGACACACACACATGGTCCCGCCTGCAGCAGCCAGCCCCCGGGCTTTTCGGGGGGAGCAAAGGCAGAAGCGGCTGCACAAGCACATTGTGGGGAACAGATGTGCCGGAGCCATCGCAGCGGTAGCTGTAATTTGTTTTTGCAAGCAGCTGGCCCTGCCAGGCTCTCGCAGGCGGGGGTAATATTCCCCTCCGAAACCCCAACGCCATTCTGGGGAGCCGCGGGCTGTGCTGGGGGGGGGCCGCGGGTCACAGCCTGTGGTTTGGGTTTAGCGGTGACAGAGCATTATCTCGTCCTCCCCGAAGATCCCCAGGCGATGGGAGGAGGGAGGTTGCTGCAGGGTTCACCACACAGCGTGGGGGGGGAAGCCGGGATTTGGGCGTCCCCCAGTATGTCTGGGCACCCCCACACCCCATCTCCCATCAGGCCCTGATGGAAAAATGGCCCCAAATCTGCTGCACCCACCCTCTGGCAGGAATGTCACGGTGTGGGGGTGAGCTGTGAAGTGGGACTGCGGGTGGGCTGGAGAAATCCCACTAAACACACCCCAGTATCCCATCTCGGGATACTTTCCTCCTTTCCTCCTCCTCTTCACACTTGGCCTAAAACCCCTTTGAAACACCCCAGATTTCTCCAGCGCGGCCTCCCAGCCGCATCCCGGTGGGTGCGGGGGGGGGGGAGAAGAGGCGGGTGGACCCCCAGGGCCCGCAGTGGGGGACCTTTCCTCTGCAGGTCACTGCCAGCCCACCCACGGTAAAGACGAGGAGCGGGCTCACCCGGCCGCTGGTTTATCTGCACCCAAAACTGGGCGGCAGCCCCGTGGCATCAACCAGCCGGCGGCGAGTGGCCGTGGGGTGTGGGCTGTACCGGGGGGGGGGGGGGGGGGGGCGCGTAGGTAAGTTGATGTATAGGCAGGGAAAGCAGGGTTGTCAGAGCCCGGATAGCTCAGTCGGTAGAGCATCAGACTTTTAATCTGAGGGTCCAGGGTTCAAGTCCCTGTTCGGGCGCAGAAACCGTTTTCATTTTTTTCCCTTCAATTCTCTGTTCTGACTTGTTTTAGTTTGGTTTTTGGTGGTTTTATTTTTAGTATATGTTTTTTTGGGGGTGGATTTTTTTTTTTGTTTTTGTTTTTGTTTTGTTTTTTTTTTTTTCCCCAGGTTTTTTCTTGTTTGTTTGTTTTCCTTGTTACCGTTGTCGGGATTCGCAGCCTGAATCCCCGCTCCGGGAAGAGCCGTTCCTGCCACGGGCGTAAAAAGCTCTTGAGGCGGGGAGAAAAAAACCGAACAAACAAAACCAAACAAACAGACAAAAAAACAAAAAAAACAAAAAAAAAAAAAAAAAAAAAAGAAACAAAGCAAAACCAAACTAAACCCGAAAGAATAAAACTGCAATCGCCCGAACAGGGACTTGAACCCTGGACCCTCAGATTAAAAGTCTGATGCTCTACCGACTGAGCTATCCGGGCTCTACGTACGTGGCCGCCCGGCCATTCTTATCACCGTTCGCGAGCATTGGTGTGGGGGGGGGGGGCTTCACACCAGTTTGGTGGGGGACGGAGTGGGCTCGTACGGGGCGGGGACGGGGGCACGCGTGGGTGGGCGGGGGCGTGGGGCTGCTCGGTGCCTTATTCAGCGGGTTTTTTTTTGGGGGGTGTGGGGTGTGTGCGTGAAATAACACCACGTGCTCCGTCTTACAATCCGGTCCTCCACCGCGGGAGGGCGCGCTCCCCGCGCGGGGCTCCTCGTCCTCTCTAGGGGTAGCTTTCCGGACGGCTCTATGGCGCGGCCCCGCCGGTACCGCCGCGCTCGCGCCGCCATGTTGGCTGCGAGGGGAAGTGGCGGCCCGGATCCCCGCTAAGATGGTGGAGAGGAGGCCGCGGGGGGTGTAGGGGTTCGTCCCCGTCCTCCCCCCGCCTCCCCGGGCTGCAGGGTGACCTGGGGCCCATGGAGCAGCTATAGGGTGAGCCCGCCGGGGGAGGCCGGGGCTCGCAGTGCTCCGGGATTGGGGGAAGCGGGGAGGGCGCCGGGGGCCGGGGGTGAAGGCGGCTGAGGAGCCAGGAGCGAGGTGCGGTGGGGCACCCGGAGGTCCCGGGGGGGTTTGAAAAGCTGCTCCCCCCCACACCCCGCCGCGGAGGGGCGGCCGGGCCCGCGGTGCCGTGGGAAGGGGCCTGGGGCAGCGGGAGCATCGCCCCGGGCTTCTGACCCCGAGGGGGCTGTGCGTGGGCATTTACAGGAGGAGCAGCACCTGCTGTGTCTTATCTTGAAAGCATTTGTGCTTGAAAATTATTTTTCCTGGGCGGGGGGGGGGGGGAAATTCAAGTGTCAAAACCAAGATCCAAACCTTCCCGTTTGAATAAATCGTGTTTCAGTAGAATCGTGCCGCTGACTGCAGCGGTTCCTGTGCGCCATGCGCTTACCTGTGCTGGGAGCACAGCAAAGGCTCTGTCTTCATGAACTCATGCTCAGGAGCCGTGCCGCTGCCATTCAGAAACATGCTTGCAAACTTTTAACTATTATTCTGTTTCCTGCTGAACACTCTTAAGGGCCTGATGTTGTTGTCTGACAGCTTTTGGTTTGCAGTTAGCTGATGTTTATACCATCTGTTCCAGTAATAAAAGGAGATGTGACAAGTGTTTCTGCATTATTGCATCTTTTATAGAGCACGCTCTTTGCTTTCTAATCTTTTGCATACCTAATGGTTATCTGCAGCCTGATAACTGTGGCAACATTTAGAGTAAAAGTTTCAGAGAAATGTGATATAACCTGACTACAGCTGAGAGCTGGCTGGGGCTGTTGCCACGGGTCATCTTTCACACCATGATTTTAACCTTAAATGCTGCCTTGCTTTTCCAGGGCAAAACACTGCCGGAGGCTGGGCAGTTTTAACTGCTGGAAGTAGCTGCTCTAAGTACAGTATTAACAACAAGGAGGTATTTTCAGGGAGAGAGTAATAACTCAAGGATCGGGTGTGTAATGAATGTTTCACACTTATTAAACAGATGGACTTTAAAAGATGATCCCTAGTTTCTAAACTGATTCTGACACATCCTGTCTGGGGTAGTGCAGAATTTTGGGCTGTAATGCTTACTGGGTTAAAAAGAGCTGAAACAAACCTACAAGTATCCAAGACTTAAATTGGACAGAAGCAAAGTTTAACAGAGGTAAATGCTGAACTTTCAGAGAAGGTATGACAAGTGAGATTGAAAGGGCCACTGAAATATGAACTTGGTTTTGTTTCTGCTCTGGTATCTCTTCATTTAATGCTTTCCAGCAGCTCCAGGTTCCTGCGTTGCCAGCACAGGTGGCCCTGCTCCAAGCACCACAGTGTCTGCTGTTTCTGTGAGGTAGGCAGGTGCCAAGCACTGCCCTGCACTACACCTATTGCTGGGAGACTGCATGGGAAACATTCTGATCAGAAAGCGTTAAAATTAATATCATAAGTGCCTGCTTCTTCAGAGGTGTACTGTGGACCTTGTATGGCACACAGACATATAGTAGGATTTTGAGTGAATGCTTGTGTATTTAGCAACTCTGCTAGGAGTAGAGCAAAAGCACCTAGGTGCTCAGCAATATGCAGACTCTTAAGTGAAACATCATGCAGCTGGTCCTGCCAAAGATGTGATTAAAATAAGGGGTTTTGTCATTTTTCTCTGATACAAAAAGGTGATTATTAGCTTTAGTTTGTCTTGTAAGTTCTAAAGTACTTGGATCAATACTGAAGAGCAGGAACAATCAGCATGGTCACTTCAGGGTATTTTATAGCCCTTACCTGGTGAATAAGCTTGTTTCCACGTTCTTGACTATTTCTTGCTCCATGGTTGATTTGGTTCAAATAGTGATACTGATTTGACCTTCCCTTAAGGAAGTATTTGCTATTGGGAAAAGCGACCCTGAGAAAAGCCCTATTTCATCTGTTAAAGTAGTGGTAAATAGAAACAGGTGTGCGTGGTGGGCTGGAAGTGCTGCCCTGTTCCAGACCTCACCAGCAACAACTACTGTCAATAGCAGCTGATTTAGGGAGATTTGCAGAGCGATTTGCCAATGTGCCTTTTTTAATTGAAATCATCAGTTTGGGTTTTTCTCCTACTTCACATGTTTTGCAATAAGAAGAGTTGCATAACATTTGTATAACATTTGTATTTGTTAACTACTAACATTAATCAGAGGGATAATTTTGGTGTGTTATTGGCAAACCGGTGGGCAACAGCACACAATTCGTGGCAGATGCATTGCATCAGCAACAGAAATTCATGTAATGTGAAATTCAACATGAAAATGTTTGTTGTATTAGAAGAACTGGATTTTACTCCAGAGCAATTGCCAAACAGGCACTCTTTAAAATCAGTGTTCCAGCTAGATGTTAAAAATAGTAGCCCTTCCTTTTGTTGCCGTAAGTAATGCGTTAAAGGACTCCTCTGTAGTGAAATTGGGCTTTTCTCTGGATACCTCTTCTAGCAGAGGATATTTTTCCTGATTGAATGCCAAGTCAATATCAAAGCACTTAACTGAGCACAGGGCAGCAAAAATTGAAGCCAAACGGTCTATAAAGTGTGAAATCTGTTAAATCATGTAATTCACAGCCCAGTTTTCTCCTGCTGCCACTTCCCAGCCAGAAGCCCCCAAATAACCAGCCAATACTTGCAAGGTCTCCTGGAGTAAAATCGTGACAAGGCAGCACTTGTTGGGAGGTGGCAGTGGAAGAGCAACTTTGTCGTCTCCTTGGCTGGCACGGTGCAGCTCTCAAAGGATGTGTAGGGACTTGTTGGGAACAGCGTTGTGAAGTGAGGTGAAATGGATGGCCCAGGGAAGGGTAGAAGCACTGTGGCAGCACTGATGGAGCTAAGGATGTAGTAAGGCAAGGAGTAATGGTGTTTCTGTCCCAGACCAGGTGAGATAGAAGGGCAGAAGGACTTGCAGGCATGAAAACTCACAGGGACTCATGCTCATAGGGACAAACCTAATAAGCTCTGAATCATTTGCCAGATCAGTGGTTGTTTAAAGCCTCCCCTCCAGGGCTGCTCTCTACATGATACTGCAAGTTGGTTTTCAGTAGAAATTTTGCTTTCTTTGAAAGCATGAGAAAGGATGATGTTAACTGGGGACAGGATTTGAATGTCAGACCTTAACCCCCAGTTGAAGTGAGCTGTTGCAGTCCACAGATATACCAGTGTCAGGTTTACATTCCGTGCTGTGTTTTCACTTTGCACAGAAGCTAGAAACTGTCTTATTTCCTTAAAAGGAGACTTTAAAACAAAAGCTGAACTTGAGTTAGAAGTTTAGCTTCAACTTTTCAGACACCGCTGTCCAGAAAACTCCATGCACCCTGTCCTTGCACTTCCTTCCGGGTGTGTTAAGAACTTTTGTCTCAAGTCTTTCCTTTTGTAAGCATCAAAAACTGTGGTCTGGTGGGGTTTTGATCTCTTAAGAAAAGGAACTTTTACTCGCAAGACAGACAGATGACTGGTTCCTGTAGTGTGCATGACCATATAAAGTGTTCAAGTGGAAAAAAATGGTTACTTCATGACTCCTTTGTGATTCATGGTTTTCTCAAAAGTCACTACTCTGGTCCCATGTCATTTTCTTATATATGCAGCCCTGAAGTTGTAGAAGGTAACAGCAGTAATTTCACTGGTGCTCTGTTCGGTTAGCTGCTAGTTTAGACACTTACAGGGTTGCAAGGTAAAATATTCAGCATAAAATAGGGGGGAAGATAGAGTTGCAGGGGAAAGTTAAATAAGACTGACACTGAGCAAGAAGCTTCTCAGTTCTCCAGGAATTTCCACCATTTGGGTTTCTGGCCAGCCTGTGTACAGAGGGTGGTAACGAGTGACATTTTCTGCCTTGGTGACTGCCTCCATAAATCTTCTGGGTATCTGCAGCCTGGACACGTTTTAGAGCTTGCATGCTTGGGAAGACAGTATTCAGTAACCCCAAGATTAATTTCTAATTAAGGGAGAATCAAACTCGCTAAAAATACAATTTATCTGTAAAGACTGGAAATGAGGCAGTAACTTGCCTGCCTTTCTCTAATAAAACCAGTACTGAAACAGTTAAAGTGATCTTCAGTTGACTCTCTTAGCCCAGGGGTAGCAGAGTCCCTTTCCAGGAACGCAGGGTAGAGAGGAAATCCACTGTTCTCTCCCTTTTTGGCTATTCTTCGCACCAACTCGAGTTCTTATCAGAAGCTGATGTATTTAGTGACTCCCTCTCCTGACTGAAGGAGTTGGAGGCAGGAGCGGTTTTTGAAAGAGCGACTCAGAGCCCAGAGCATCAGCAGGACTGGGAGCCCAGCCAGACGTGGCAGAGCTCCCGGGGAGGCTTCGCTGAGCACCCCCAGGGCTGCTGGAGCTGCTCCCCTGCGCAGGGACCCCCCGACCCTTCTTGGCAGGAGCAACGGGACTGCCTGGGAAACAGAGGCAGTGCCTGGCTCTTCCTGGTGATACTCCTTAGAGCAGTGAAGTTCAAGGTTGGTAAGTTTGTCTGCAGCTAGTACAAAGTACAGCTCCGCTTGTAAAACGTAAAGGATACTTTGGGCAGTTTGTGTTGCAATGTACTTGGCATTATCAAGTGGAAACTTTAGTTAAATTTTAAGACTGATAACGTGGAAGTGGTTTTAGCTGTTATAAGTCACATACTTTGAGTTACTACTTGGATCTGATCACTATCAATGTCATTTATCAAACCTGAACATTTGATATGCTTTAATCAAGCTTTCCTAAATATTTAGAGTTATATTTGATCTTTGGGAATGATTTTATTCCTGGCTTCAGAGAAATGTAATGTAAGGACTATCAGAAGCCTCTAACAAAGTCATTGTAAGTTACTTTTGTTAGATGGGGTAGGGGAAGGATGGGGGTTGAATGGTTACCAGCAGTCAGTAACTTGAATTGGTGCTAAAGCTCAGATTTTTGTCATTACTGAGGCTTCTGCACTGCCTGCTAGATAGATGTTCATTCAGCCTGTTTTGTCTACATATAAAGTGTTTGGTTACATTCCTCAGGCATAAGTCTGGTTATTTTGCTAGTGTTCACTTTTTAATGTAGCTAATCATACTGACTCACATTCTTTATAACTGATGTAGTAATAACAAATTAATGTGCTATACTTGGAAAATTCCATGAAAGACAATTTGGATATTGCTTTGAAAGTTTTCAGCTTTACATTTTAAAAATTAGTTTAAACTAGTGCATGGGTTAAAAGTTGACACTTGAGATTCCACAAAGTAAAAAATTTTCCAAAGCTGCATCAATGTAGGCAAATCCAGGAGCCAGTCTTTTTAGATAATCTTATGCTCTAGCCTTAAATTTACAAAAATGGCAGTTGCAGGGCTTGTTTTGGTATTGCCTGCAGAAGCGCAGCCAGATTCACATCAAAATGGAGATTTTTATTGTAACTAGGTCCAGGGACAGAAGATTTTACAGGTATATTGGTCTGAGCTTTAGTGCTGAGACTGAGAGGTCAAGACTCAAGTTCCTTCTCCAGGAAGTTCAAGTTACTTTTTTTTTTTTTTTTTTCCTTCCCGTGGCTAGTTAATTTACACCATCCTTTGTCTTTATATTTAAAGAAGTTTTCAAACCTGTTGTGTGGCGTAGATTAAATTGAATTGTGCTGTGGATTTGAGTCATTACAGATTATTCTGCATATGAAGCTGCACTCTTTGGGTGGTTACTGAAACTGATAGGGCTTGACAAATTCAAATAGCTGCAGGACTTCCCCTTTTGTTCCTTTCCAGGAAAGGATCATTTCACCTGCTGACCCAGTAATATCGTTAAAACTGTTAATTTAGAGCCTGTTTGTAGTCATGTGGGATGAAGGCTGCAGCAGTTTTAACAGGTTTTCAGCTCTTGGATAAGGTGGGGAATGTGTTAATGATTGCCATTGGCAATGGCTACTCCTTTGGGGCATTCAGGGGGTTGCTGTCTTGGGAAGATTTCCCCTGTAACTGATTGTGAGTCAGCTTTTATTTCCACACCTCTGACTCAAGGATTTCACCATGTTAAGAGCATGCCAATGGCCTGATGGAGACCGGCAGTTCCCTTGAGCTGGCAGGTCCCCAAGTTCCTCCCTTTGTTGTGCCACTCCTAGAGATGGGCATCAAAGCATCCTCAGTGCCACAGCAGATCTGTCCCTGTTCTCACGTGGCTGTTTTTCAGGCATCTGGATGCAGCTTGGGTAGGTCGGTTTGGACAGAGGCGAGTGGCACAGTAACATCAGCATTATACAGCAGTCAAGATATGCGTGCAGGGCTAATTTTAAACACTGGTTTCCTGAAGCTTCTAAGAAGTGGAAGTGGTTAAACTCAAGACCAGGTTTCTCAGCTTAACTGGTATGTGAAACTTCTCATTAATAGGTTTGTGCTATAAACAGCTGATCACTGCCACAATGACATCTTCAAGCTCTGCCCAGCATCCAGCAGCTGAGAATGCCTGCAGAACCACACTTGGACAAGCTAACCAGGTAATTATCTTTCCCACTTATCTTCAATACTTTCTCCTCACTGAAGCAGTAATTTCTTCCATCAAATCAAAGCTGTCCAAGTATACTTAAGTAAGAAGAGTTTAGCCTAAAGGAGTAGGGCTTTTATCCTGAGGAATTGTGTTAGCTTTCACTATCAGATCAATGATTTATGAATATTTTAAGGAGCAGGAGAGGAAAAAGCAGTTAAAACTGGTCATACAAGAATTTGTGTAGTGTATATTTTTGTGCTGGACCTGTACTTGAAGTATTCCACATAGAGTTTACCTCCTAGTGCTAGACTCTTGTCACAGTTGTATTGAAGCTTTGTAACCTTGTGTGCTGAACTTTGTCTAGTCAGTAATGCATCCCCATGCCTCTTTTGGCATCAATTTGGGTAAGTATTGAGCATGTAGTACTCCTGTTACCAACTGTTCCTAGAACGTAACGTCCCTGGAACAAAAGGTAGCTGTAGCCGTTAGCCAAGGCCAATGTGGCATATGTGGTTTGAGTCTGGGTCAATACCATGTTGACAGCCAGCCACATAACAGAAATTGGCAAACAGTAACAGTAGAAATCTATCTAAAAACCAGAAAGGTTTCTTTAAGACAGTCATTCAACCTTCCAGAGCCAATTCATTGTAAAAAGCATCTCCACAATATGAGGGGATGGGGCAGGAGTAGAAATAAGCTGATGGGAAGCTGAGAGAGCCTCCCATTTAAGGCTTAATTTAGAAGCTTTGAAATGTAGCCAAGTCTTGTAGAGAATTGATGTATATGCTTATTTGGTGTTCTTCGCATAAAAAAAATAAGTAAATAGGCTCTGATATTAGTAGCAAAATATTGATTGTCAACACTCAGTGTCCTTAGGCAGTGTGGAGTAAACACTTCCATTTTGGCTGTACTGTAGTAACTAAGGGCCCATTTTAAAATGATCAAGCTGACTAGGTTACTTCTTTAATCAGTGAGAGCTGTGTAAGAAGTTACTTCAGAATCCATTTGAGAGTGGTCATTAGAGAAATGAATGAATGTAAACACATAATTTCATCTTACTAAAAACCATGTGCTGATACAAGCACTTATTTCAGTTGTGCTGAGCATTTTACTAGTGAAAAAGCTGTTATTGAGAAAGAGACTTGGGGCTGGACACAAGCTGTTCTGTTGCAGCTTGAAAATGCATTTAACAAACATAATAATGAGAAAACAGGTGGACCAGACACATTCACAGAGATGATTTTTTTTTTTTGCAATATTAGAAAACAGTGGAACAAATATCTTGCCAAGATACTGTCTGATAGCAGAGTGACAAATTACATTCATGGCAAGCAATCAAAGCCTGCTCGCCTTACCTTGTGCAGGAAAACAGTGCTGCAGCTCATGCTGTTGCTTGAGGAGACATTGTAAGGCTGTAAGCAGGCTTTACTCCTTGGGAAAGGAAAGGGAGAGTGCAATTGCTTTTATATAAGCTGAAAGGAGGGGTGGGTATGAGACACAGGTGAACTCACCTAACATTGATAGGTGATTGCTATATAGCACAGGTTACATGTCTTGAGAGGGATAAGCTTTGCCAAAGTGTAGGGGAAACAGCAGCGAACATCCTGTGCTGAGGACTGGACTTGCTGTCCTGTGACAGATTGAAATACCTTGATGTATTAACATCTGATAGACAAGGAGAACAGAGGAAGAGATTAGGTGTGGGAAATGTGCGTTAGTGTGAAATATTGTACACATTTGTGGAGCACTCAGAGGACAGCGAGGGCTTTCTGACGTTTTTAGGGAACACAAGGCATCGATCATGTGGTGGCACTCTCCTAGAGATTGTTATAGTTCTGGTGAAATAGATGAAGTAGCAATGTAGGGAGGAAGTAGCTATTTAAAACTTGCTGCTGTTTTACATGGCATCATCTGCCTCATCTGCTACTCAGAGCTGATTGGGGGTGTGGGTGAAACCTAGAGGGGTTGTGGAGCAGTTGCATTGTTCCCCAGGATGCTTTGAATTTTCTATAATAAAGATTTTGGTTGATGACTGAGATCCACAGAAGATACAGATTCTGATCCTTGGTGTTAATCAACCACACCTTGTGTTCAATGCCTTCTTATTTTACGGGTCTATTCATGGATCCTAATAAATACATATTCCCCAAGGTCTGTACAGAGCAGGCCTGATTTGTTCACTGCACTAATTGAGATAATTCAGGCATGCTGCTCTTGAAGTGGCAATCTGAATGCACAATCATTGCTCCTAAATATATGACTCAGTACATTTGGTTAGTCACTGCCTAGGACTCCATAGCAAGGGTCTGAGTTTCCAATATTCCCTCACAGGATGAATGACATCAAAGTTAATGGGACAATGTGAGTGATTAAAGCCTTTAGAGCTGACTGCCCAAATTCCTTGGCTTTTTTTGTCTTCCACTTGAATCAGAATGATTGTGCTGATTTCCAGTCCTTCTAACTTCTTTCTTAGCATTTGTCCATGCAGATTACTTGTAAAAAAGAATACTAGCCTTCACCAGGTTTGTAAAAAAGAATACCAGCCTTCAGCAGGTTAGCCCGAGGCAAGCAGTGTTTCCCCACGACCTCCAGCTCATACCGCAGTTGTCAGCTCTCTGCTTGGTGTGAATCTTGCCCAGGCTGACGTGGGTGTGTTAGCTGTGATATGCAGGCCTGCATTCAAACAAAACTTTCTTCTTTGTGTTTTAGGTGCGACCCAAACTGCCGCTTCTGAAGATTCTGCAGGCTGCGGGCGCCCAAGGTGAAACCTTCACTCTGAAGGAGGTGGGCTCAGTTTGTAGGCACTGAAACTCTGCCTGTCCCCGGTTGCTTGCGAGATGGCTCTTTGTGGGGAAGGGATGGGACTGGCTGTTAATTTTTCTGTACTTGGAAGCCCTATTTGCTAAATAGGGATACCTTACCCTTGGGGCTGTTGTGATTTGATTGATGATAAATTGTCTTGAGAGCTCTCAGAGGAATTGTAATAGGAGTGTGAAATATTAAAGAAAATTATTTATCCTGGAAAATCAAAAACCTCTTTAGAGAAAGGAGAGATGGAGTAGCCACATTCCTGAGAGAGCGTAGGAGATTCTGTTCAATTGTCTTGCTCTCTGCTTAGTGCATGAAAGCCTTAAAAATTGGATTCCAGTTGATATTTTTCTTCTAAATTTCCTTTGAAATGGCTTGTCAGCTAAACCTAAGAGACCCTGTGAATTCATTTATTTTAAGATTAAAATGCAATATGTGTACAAGATTAAAAAAATGACACTGACTGTGATTTACAAGAGTATCCTGTCTGCAAAGAATTAAATGCAGTGGTTTTTCATTATGAATGTGTCAAATATTCCTGCAGAGCCCTGTGACTTATTTTAAACACTTATGCATTTAAATAACTTATTTAGCTTCTAAAAATTTTTGCAAAACCAAATTGGATGGTTTAAATGGGGAGAGCTGAGTATTAAATGCAGGTTACTTGTAGAGATTAACATTTTAACTCAGTTAAGTCATTTTTTTCTGCAGTGAATGGAGTACAGTTAGCAACTTTTTGGTGACACTGTTGTTCAGGAGGGTCGCTTTGGTGGGCAGTGGGGAGGCGGGGGGAACCTGCCTATACTGTGCTTAATGCATTTTGCTTTCTCCTCTTGTACTCTGGATTCCTCACTGTAGCTGGCAGTGTCCCCTAGCTCTCCAAGGATATTTCCTCTCCACCCTTCTTTGTGATACTAATGCACTTGTTTTTGCAACTTGCAAACCGTACCCTGAGGGACAGCACTGTAAGTGTGGTCATGCTTTAGTAATAGCTTATTCTTTCAACTGGGGCTACCTTCTGCCTCCTCCACACCCATTTCCTTCTCTTCCTTAACCCGAGTTGAACAGCAGCCGTCTCCATCTGCAGCTCTCACTGAGGGAGGCTGCTCAGACAAAAGTGTTTCACCCGTGTCATATTTCATTTTAATGTGGGGTAGCAGTGTGACAGCTATTTGTCCATCTTTAACTCAGTTTCCCATCTTGTTAAGGGTTGATGGTTATGAACCTTACAGCAATATGGCAAAGCATAAGTCTCTTGGTTGGGACGCACTGACGAATTGCAGATATGCATAAAAAGCAGGTACTAAATGACTCACACTGTATAGGGTAGCAGGAGGCAAATATCATAAGCGAAAGCAAATTTCCAGGGTCTTTGCTGGTTTGGTTTCAGCTGCGGATATGGCTAATGGTATGTTATATATCCACAGGTTATGCATTACCTAGGACAGTATATAATGGTGAGGCAGCTATATGACAAAAGACAGCAACACATGGTCTATTGTGGAGGAGATCAGCTGGGAGAGCTGCTGGGACTGGAGAGCTTCTCTGTAAAAGATCCAAGGTAGGAAAAAGTCACCTTCGACATACGTTGTATTGTAAAGGTTGCTGAGACAGGAGACTCTGGGTGTCACTGTTTCTGTTCACTGTCACATAAACCTCCATGAATACCAAGTGCCCTGCTCAGTGGCTTACTGGTAATGCATTTGACAAGTTTGAGTTGAGCTCCTTTGTTCTGAAGAGTCCCTTCTAAATGGTCCAGGCAGCGAGCTGCTTGAGATGACATATTATCCCCCTTTGTATTTCTGCATCTTCTTGGGCCTTTGTTCTCACACTTAAGGAAAAAGCTGCATCCTTCAGTTAAGTTCTGAGCTGGCCTTCTCTATGACAAGCATTTAGGAGTGACAAAAAAACCCCACTGCAGTTGCCAGTGTCTCTCTGGGTAATAAAAAGGAATTTGTGTCCCTGGTTTAAAAGGGTCATGCTGTTTGGTTTTGCGAGTATACTCAACTGTCACCTCCTTTCCCACAGCCCAGTCTATGACATGTTGAAACGGAACCTGACTTCTGCTGCAGTGACAGGTAGGTTTATCACAGTATGGGCAAGTATATTCAATATAGTGTTGATGTAACTTGGGTAAGTAATGACATTCAGAAAAGAGAAATGTTTTTGAAGTTGGAACAAACTGCTAATGAAGGTTTGACAAGACAATCTCTTTGAGTATGTGTCTTTTGCGTGTATCTGCCATCGGTAGCTGTGGTATGAAATCAGTTAGCTGTGTGAGTAACGTGGCTGCCTATGACCAATGGCCAAACCTCGGAGCAGCAGACACCCTCTGTCTGGAAGCACGCCGACAGAGCTAAATGTTGTGGATGTACAAATCAGCGTGGCTGAAGTATCCCATCCAAATCATCGATTCCTCAGTCTTTTCTCAGTTTCGTAGCATGCTGTGATTTCTCGCTTTCACCTCGTTTTATACTTTCATAGTCTTGAGACTGAATATAAGAGTGCTGGAAACCCATCCCAGTTCTGCAAACCAAAGAGGTCTGGGCTGTAATTGAACATTTGAACCTTTAAAGGTCACTGTTAACTTTCCTAGCTCATAAGAGAAATCACATCTATCTACATCAAAAGTCCTTCAGTCCTAAATTAAAATTTATTCTTAAATTAATCTCAGCTGATGGCTTCTTTGCAGCCAGTTTCCATTGTATAGCTGGTAATCTTCATTTGAAAAACAACTTACAATGAATTTACAAGAGTGCAAATCATGAGTGACCTGCACCAGGAGAGTTGTGGAGTCTTGTGCTGTACTTCCTGGGGGTCTCTAAGCAAATAAGACAGACTTGGTTCTTCATAAGGACTTAGTCTATTTTTGCACACGTACACAATAGCTTGTGCAAATTTAGAAACTGAGAAAACATGGCCCTAAACTGCTTAGTCCTCTGTTCTGAGCCATGTATTGGTGCCTCTGAGGTCCCTCTTCTTTCTCTGTTTATATAGAAGCATCTTCCTAAGTGGACTCGTCTATACACGTTACCTACAGCATAACTGTGTGAGTGCCGTTTCTCTCGCTGGTGATGCCCTGGCCTCTCCCCTGTAGGCAGTGTATGTGGAGAGCAAAGGATCCCAGCGAAATACTCTCTCCTCTGCTGCCCTGTCCCTTCTGCTGGGTGTGTGTATGTGGCTCTGTGCGTGTGGCTGGGTGTGCGTGTATGGTCCAGTCATGGTGTAACTATTTTTAAACCTGCCAAAGGAAATACTGTTCCTTTAGGGAGATGATCACTGAGTTATACCACCGTGTCTGCTTGTGTATGTGTGTGACTACGAAACGAAACAAGCTTGGCAGACCAGACCTTTGACAAATACATAGGAAGGATGACTCTAGGTATTGTTTTTCCCTTCATCGCAACATGGCAATAACTAGAAGTGCCGTAGGGCTTAAAGAGGTCTTCATGTTTCATGTTTTCTAATAGCTGCTTGTATTCATTAGCCAAATGAGTGCTTATCAGCACATCGCATTGCAGATTATCTCAGCCACTTCTTTTAAGTACACTTGTAGAAAGAAAAGTGTCTGCAGTACATCTCGATAATGAAGACTAAGCTCTTACATAATGCTCTTTATCAGACGATGTCCTTGCTTGGCTAGCTTTCACTCTAAGTGTGACTCACATGAGGTGTATTTAGGAATACCTCACTTTATGGACATTATGCATAGTATATGTTGGCTTCAAAAAAGGAAACCTTCCAATAAGTGGAGTGTCTTTTCACACATTGTTTAAAGCTAGCTTGCATTATTTATAAAGTGTTAGAAGGGAAGTCTTCACCTCTTCTGATGCCCCTGCAGAGCCAGAGCAGTTAGGGATGAGCCAATTGGCTTCTCTTTTCCTTCAGGTATTAAATAATCAGTGACTGCAGAAGCTGTAGGAAGGAAAGAAGGGAAAGCTGAACTAATGCATGGAGGGCACAGAATATGGAATAGAGCCATGTCATCTTGTGTTCCTGTGTTCTGGTTCATTTTATGGACTGCTTTGTGGTCCACTTCTCTGCCCATAGCAGCAGTTGTCCATGTCTTCATATCGGTGCCATGATCCATGGTGTGATTCAAACTGTTCACGTCTGCTGTATTCAGCAGGGAATTCTCTGCTAAATTGAAAGGGGAGCCATGCAGGAGCCGTCCCAGCATCTTCTGTTCTCTAAGAAGCCATTCTGTTTAAAGGGTAGACTTCCTAAGTGCATCCCTCCTATTATGTATAAAGATTTCTGTTAATTTGATTGTTCTTGCTATTTAGGTTGGCCTTTTAATTAACTCCTGGGGCCAGTACAATCATCTGGATTAAATTGTGTTATGGATGTGTACACATTTACCCAGGAAAGAGCTTGCTGTTCATGGAATTTTCCCTTCTTTAGTCCAGTCATTGTTCTTCATGCCCCTATCCTTTAAGAAAAGCATTTTTCCTGTCTCAGCCTAAGCTGAAAGAGATGGTGTCCTCACGTATTTCTAAAAATCTTGCTCTCCTCAGTTCACCTTCTTCAGCACGGATCCGATCCAGCCTTTAAGTGAGAGTCCTCACGCTCTGCTATTGCTCTGGGTTTCTGACCTCTTGTGTAAAGGACCCAGAGCGATGGCAGGAGAAGCCTGTAGGAAAAGATAGTTTTTCACATTGGGAAGAAAGTTCTTGCATACTGTGAGGTTTCATTGAGCTTTATCTCCAAGAAGGCACAGCCTATTCTGTGGGCTGATGCCTCCATATGTACCTAGCAAAGCCTAGGGAGTACTGGAGTCATGCCTCTCTAGGAAATGGCCAGCTCTCTAAGGAAGAAAGGGCTCTGTTTTTCTTAAAGAGTACTTAGAGGTCTGCCAAGCCTGGCTCGTTGGTTGCTTGCTGAAGACCCTCTGTGTTGTGAGAATGGTTATTACCAGGGAAGGTTTTTTCTTTTGTTTTACCTGCCATCTAGATGCCGCACAGAATCTCGCAAAGGAACAGAGCGTCGATAAGCCAAGCCAAGACCAGCTGAAGGTAAACCCACTGCCTGGTGGTTTCTTTTGTTGTACAGAGTGCCCCTTCTCTGTACCTGTGCATGGTGGACTGCCAGAACTTTGTGCTGCTTGGCTGCCAGGTCCTCACCTTCCTGAAAAGTTCTTGGAGTCCACAGAGCAGGGACAGAGTGACCCTTCTCTGTTCTCTTCATAACAGAGTACCAGTCTCTGAGCGCGTTTCTCTGGGGTGTAGCACTTCTAGTCCTCAGTTCCTCCAGTGTGCTCTGTATTTTTATGTCTTTCCCCCCCTCTCTCCCATCCCCTCTCTGAGTAGGAATCGTCAAATAATTAAGCTTTCTGAAACGTGTGAACAAGTTTTGTGTTTAGTAGGATTGTTTTCAGAAGCTTTCAGGCAGAATCTGAAACCTAGGAAAAATCTTTGCACATTCAAACTCCTTTCCAGGTATATTTTGGGATTAAGGTAGTCTGATGTGGGAGGTGTCTGTTCACATTGGGGGCCGAAGAGTCACAAAGATCACAGTATTGCTGCATTAAAGATGGCAACTTTTGGACTTCTGCCAATCTTAAGATTTTTCCTAGGTTGCAAGTATATTTTTAGTGCTGATTACAGATGCATTAGCCTTCTTAAAGGGTTAAAAGTGTGTAGTTTTTGTTCAGAAACTTTTTTCTCTCTTCATAACTTCCTGGTCTTGTACTGCAGCTGGTGACTCGGAATGGAAGTGCTACATCCCCTTGTCCCTATAAGCTCTGATGGACTAACATCCCTTTTTTTCCTTCCTTCATGCAGTTTAGCCAGCAGGAAGGTTCTGACACTGGCGTCATGGAGGGTGAAAGCAATGCGTCTGCTTTGTCTACCTCAGAGCAAAAATGTGAGAATTGTGAAGGTGAGTGCCAGCCCTTCTGCAGTAGCACAATGTGTCCAAGCCCTTCTCCTTCTCCAGTGTGACACGCTGAACTCTGCATCAGCAAAATGCTGGAGGAGGGTGTTGGAAGACTATTAAAAACCTGTTGTGGAATATAATCTTTAAAAATCATCAGTTTATGCTAAAGATTGAGAGAACTGCATATGTTCGCCAAAGGTATTTTATGCTAGACGTGTTTTCTGTCGTGGATATTTGGTCTCATAAATAAACAAACACTTTGAATAAAACGGCAGATTAAGCCCCAAAAGCACATCTATCACTAAACAATGCCATGAAAAATCTTACAGACCTTGCTGAAGGGTATTTTAAATGCTGAAATTATACTTGTATCTATTTATCTTCCCAAGGGACTCTCTCCTCTGATTACATAGAACACAGCCTATCTGCAGTCATTACCTGCAAACCAATCAGGGAACTGAATAACAATGGAATTTTTTTCTATCCAGCTTAAGTGTAATACAGCTCCTTCATATTTAGACATTTCCTTTGTTTTAATGTCTGGGGATTTCTCGCTGGTTCACTCATGGATTTCTGATGTTATGGAAGCAATTTTCCTGTTTTTCTACTTTCTGTTCTCACATTGTTCTCATATCAAGGAACCTCATTTGTAAAACCAAATCTTTGCAAGTGTGGGTATTTCCAGATCAAATGGAAGTGGTAGATATTTTCCTGGCTGCATGTACAAAAGAGGTAGAAACAGTCCTTGTCTGTGCCTTTGAAACTCTTGGCACTGAAGAGAGATAGATTCAAGGTTATCTTGAAATTCAGACTGCTGAGTTTAGGATCATAGACTAAACTGCATGGGCTAAAAAAGGAGGCTGAAGCATGGGGTTATGGAGGATGGATTCTTACCTTCCTGCTTCCTATTTTGAGCCTGGTTTGGGAATTCAGGAGCTCCCACCACTGGAAATTAGAACTAAGTTCAAACCAGTTCTTTCTGCATTTTATGTCACTCAATAACCGACTTGGTGTTGACTTGGTTAGACCTCTGAAAGAAGTGTTTGTGTTTCTGTAATGAGTCTTAAAACTAAGGTGAAGCTAAAGAGAATCCTTACCATTCTAAAGGCACTGGGAACACTGGGATGCTCCTCTGACTCCTGATGGCTGTGCAGTGACTATTCTGCCAGGCTCACTGGGGCAGATACACGAGTACAGATGTGCGGCAGATCTAACATCCCAGTACACTTACACAAACCCCAAAGCTCTGAGCAGTAACTGGCTGTAAGAAGGAGCAAGAAAGATTTCTAAAATCGGATGGGGCCAAATTTTTCTCTGCTAGTCTCTGAAATAATGTAGGTGTGGCATGACTTAGATTCTACTTGGCTCTTACAGACAAAGACTTAATAGAAAACCTCTCTAAAAGCAAGAAGCCTAAGCTGGACCTAGTGTTTGAGGAATGGGATGTAGCTGGTCTTCCATGGTGGTTTTTAGGCAACCTCAGAAGCAATTACAAGTCCAGAAGTAATGGATCAACAGATATTCAGACTAACCAGGTGTGTAGACATTTTAAATAGGTGCGCTGTATTCTCTTCCTCTCCTCTCTTGGTTTCCAAGTAAATAAAATATTCTTTCTTTCCCCTTCCCACTCCAGGATTTTCAGCTTCTCCCTTGTGTGTTCCTGTCCCAGCCTTCACATCAGGTGGTTGGTTACCTTTAGTCTTCTTAAATAAACTAGGCGCTCTCTGAAGGCTGTGTTCAGCTGGTTGAGATCCTTCCACACTCCAACGCATTGGTTGTATTTCAGGAGTTGCCCCTCTATCTGGGTTGAACGTTGTTAATGTGGTGGCCAGCTGCTCTGTGGCCCGCTGGCAAGGGGAATGAGCAGAGTGCTGCTTGCAAAAAGGGGGTGTCTTCGTGAGAGTGCCCCTTTCTCTCCCCGGGGGTGCCTGGAGAAGCTGCCCAGGGCTGAGAAGGCTGTTAGTGTGGAAAAGGGGAGAGGCATTTGCTGTGGCAATGGCTGCGGTGCTGGTACTGCTGCTGCTAACCTGAGCTCTAAGAGGTGTCTCCTGTTTCTTTTCCAGCAGGACGTGGACACTGCTGTTGTTTCAGATACCACTGATGACTTGTGGTTCCTCAACGAGTGCCCCTCGGATCAGAGCAGTGCTGCAGTCAAGGTGGAAGTGGTTGACTGCGAGGAAGTGAAAGAAGGTGACAAAAAGGTACCTCTTCAAACAGCCACAGTGCATGTGTTCCACAGGTTGGCCTGGTTTAACTGATCTCATGGTGCTGTGCTGATTTTGGAGGAGCTAGATATGTAACCATCCAGAGTTTAAACTGTGTTTAGAAAAGGCTGGCACCATTCTGTAGGTGGGGTGATACCTTTCCTGTGTAGTCAGTCTCCTTGGGTTTTGGTTTAAATGCATGTATTTTCAAGGCACAGAATTAATTTAAAATTAATTAGAACTCTAGCAGCAACTTTACTGTGTTTCTAACCAATATCTGCAAGACTAATAAATGAAAGGACTTGAATAGGTAAATCTCTGTTTATGTTGTGTTAGCATTCAGTGTAAGATAGGCTGGCCTGAGTCTGCTAGCTGAGGTGGTAGGGAGATTGGTCACAGGTAATTAAGCAAATATATATTAAAAGGATTGAGTTCATGATTTCTGCCATGGAAATTAGTAGGTCCACTCAGGTGTGTATGTGTTTGTATTTGTATGGTTCTTGTGTGAGTTGACCACAGACAAAAACAACTCTAAACCAGCCCAGCAACAGTTGTCAGTGTTCTGGAATAGATACCATACATAAAATGGATTTTCATGCACTTATAGAAATGACTTAATTATGGCAATTACATACTCATTTTAGTTTCGGTGCCCAGTGCCAGGCACATCATAAATAGAGATTGTTGTGCCCCTCTAACAACATTTCTACTCTTTCCAGGTGATGGAGGATGCATGTTTGCATGACTTTGAGGATTCTCAGTGCTTAAGTGATGACACAGATACAGAAGCTGCTTCTGAGGTAGGCTTCCTTTAGGGCAGCGTTCTTCCTGGGAGTGTGCTGCATCCGAGCTGTAGTTGGAAATACTCGTCCTACAGCTACTACTAGTTCTGGTAGGAGAAACTGATTCTTGTGTGGGTTTCAAAGGCCAGAAAAAGCAAAAACTCAGGCCAAAAAAGCTTTTTTTGTAACCTACATGAAGGAGTGTGGAGAAGTTGGCTTGGCCTGGTTTGATTTATTTTGGACAGGGCTCTGTTAAATTCTAAACTGGATGGGCATTGAGCACTGAGAGCCCTTGAATGCTCTGATCCACCCAGTCCAAAGACACCAAGTGTCTCTCCTGGCCACAGAGCAGTCCTGGGACTTGTGTGATTTTGGCCACTTTTTGTGGTTATGTGAGAGAATTTACACGTTCTCTAGCTAGGAGGGCTTTTTGACTAGGAGATTGGGCTCCTTGTTTCTACATTGTTCGTCCCTTTTGTGCCAGGGTATTGTAGTGTCAGCATGGGCAGGCCCTGGCTTTTTACTCAAAATTCAAGTTCTCCCTTCACATACCTGAGAAGTGAATGAAGATTAGTCCCTCCGTTTCTAGCATGGTCAGTCTATTGCTATATGAAGTTAGTATTAACAATATCCGTGTTTTAATGAGGTTAATTCTGTATTGTCCTCTGAAAGGAAATCTGGAATACTGTCCTTGGCAGAAGTTTGGAAATCCAAAGTAGGCACTTTATATTATAATCACTGAAGTGCTCATGCTCAAAAAAAGACTTAATGGAAATTTCTGTGTCAGGATCAGGGTTCCACTGAGTCCTGGGTGTCTAGTCCAGCCCTGAAGCTGTCACTTGTTTTGTGGTAGTCTCTGGAATGAGAAGGGAATCCACTTTTTATCTCACCTCATTTTTCAGAGCTACTTGTATAGCCTTTGTCAGGAGGAGAGCCTGTGTAGCTGGTGGTGTAATGTCTTTGCCCTTGCAGTGCCTCTCTAAGGGCAGACCACAGCTCTTTTCCCTGTTTAAATGAAAAAACAAGGTGGAAAGAGAATAAGCAGTAATTAGTGGGTTGTTGCCCCTCCCCACTACCCCATTCCTCTTCTGAATTCCCTTGTGACAGACATTGAGGGACATGAAATTTGTGTTCTTTCATCTGTCCTTTTTTTCTCCCAGTCCTGCAGGCTGCCTTTTGAGGTTTTGTTGTAAGTCAGCAAAAGTGTATTGCGATACTCTTTGCAGCTGATGGCACCAAATTTTTTTAGCATAATTTTCTAGACTGTGCATGCTTGAGAAATTAGGATGTCCCTGGCATTGGATAGCTGAATCATAGCTTTGAACTTGGGCAGCTCTTGCCCTTGCTCTGTGGGGTAATCAAGTAAGACGCTATTAGTTGTGCAGATTCAACAGATGCTAAGTGATTAGTGAGCCTGGGAAGTATATTCCTGACTGATTCCAGGAGCTCTACCCTTGAATTTAGAGTGAGATACTGAAAATTCAATAAACTGCACAGCTTGAGAACATTGTATTCTTCCAGAGTGCTGAAGTCTGGGAGGAAGGAAAGACAGATTGTAATGCTTAAAAGATCTGCATCTGCAGGGGTAACCAGATTCTCTAGGCTTTCTGAGGTGCTGATAATCAAACTAGAAATCATGCATTTGCAAGCTTATACTCGGTAATAAATGATAAATGTCCTTTTTGATGAAGCTTCTTTGCTGCTTTTCCTGTGTAGAGGATACAAGCTGTACGCAAGAATACACTAACTTGCTGCTGTTTTTGTCTGCCTCAATCGTTCCTCAGGACTGCTGGCAATGCACCAAATGCAAGAAATTTAACTCTCCAGGCAAACGGTACTGTTACCGCTGCTGGGCCTTACGGAAAGACTGGTACTCAGATTGTCCCAAACTGGCTCATTCTCTTTCTCTGTCTAACATTGATGCTATGCAAAATAAAAATGATGACGAAGGGATAGATGTCCCAGACTGCCGAAGGACTATATCTGATCCAGTTGGCCAACCCAAAGACCTGTACATGGTAGGAAACAAATCACGTGTAGATCCCTGCAGCTCTATTGAGTCTTTGGATTTGGCACGAGAATGTGAAAGCAAGGAGTCTCTGCTGCATTTCACTGAGCATAAAAAGGAGGAAGAAATACAGTCTTTAGAGAGTATAAAAAAATTACTGAATCCTTGTTTCTTATGCCATCACAGACCACGGGATGGGAATATTGTCCATGGAAGGACTGCTCACCTTGTAGCCTGTTTCAAGTGTGCAAAGATGCTGAAGAAAAAGAGATCACCTTGCCCAGTGTGCAGGAAAGAGATTGAGATGGTGATCAGGATCTTTATGGGGTAGTTGTGCCAGTTCGGGCCTTCTCCACCAAAAGCTAGCACAAAGGTTTTCTTGCACTCACACAAACCCTAACTTCGGAGCTCGGCCAGTGAATACCAAAGAGAATTAAGAGCCAAATGTGACCAAGAACACTGAGGAATCCTCTGCATTAAATGAAGCAGCATCCACTTTTTGATGTCCGTTTAAATTAAAGCCAGTAGGGAGCAGGGAGTGACTGGCACGTCGGTATCAATGCCCCAGCTTTGAAACTGTCTAAATCTTCTAATTTCAGCTCAGTGAGTGGTGTCACTAAAGATTCTCTGTTCTGACAACTGGTCCTTGAAGAAAAGTTTTGGAAACAGTTATAACTCTGGCTGTTGGAGTGTTGTTCTCCAGTAAGTCAAAGCCTGTGCAATGCCTTCTAAGGGAGGGAGTCTGCATCTGAGATAAATACGCAGGGGTGGGAAAGAGGGTGGGAGGGAAGGGTAGGCCAAGGTGTTTGCAATTTAGGTAAGCCATTTCTCCAAGGATCAGTTCTCCTGAGGGCAGTGAGAAGTAAATAACCCGGTTTCTGATTTTATTTTTTGTTTGTTTAATGTAGGTTTGTTAGATAAGGTGAAGGTCCTCTTGCTCCCAGACTTGAAATAAGTCCTCCCAGACTTTTAATCTGTAGCTATCTCAGGTCACATACAAAATTGCAAAAGAATAGGGTGTTATACTTTGCTTTGTTATTGGATCTTTTAATTTCTATTGATTCTTTTTTTACATTTAAATACAGTTCTGTGTCATCTTGCATAGCTTTGTTGAGGCCTGTCCAAAGTTTGCTCAGAATCTGGTCTGCCAGCTGGATTAAACTACAACAGCTCTGTGCATGTTTTGGGATGTTCTCATAGCTCTGTGCTTATAGCACCTTTGCAACTTCTACCTGCTTCATCTCATCAGTCCAGTCTAGATAGAAGATGCTCACTTTAGAGTGCAGTGTGGCTTTAAAGACAGGATATAGGCTTCTGAGAAATAAAAATAAGACCTGTAAAGCGCCAGTTGCAGCTGGTTAGTCTATGGGCCGTGCTTGGTGATAGTTTTTATAACTTTCTCCACTGATTTTCTTTCCCTGTGATTTAATGCTTCAAATCTGTTTGCAGCTTTTATGTTGTCCTTCAGAGCTACACATGGTTGCTCTACTGGCTGTTAAAACTCTGCTAGAAAACTGTAAGTTTGAAAATGTCTAACCCTCTTCTGAGATCATATCCTAGAACGTGCTCAGATCTTCCCCAGCGTTCCTGTTCTCTGGGGTTTGGAGGGCCTGCAGCACGCAGCAGTAGCAACAGTGCCTTCACCTTTTAGGTGTACAGGCATTTGAACTCAGTACAGCATATAGAATAAACCCTGTTTTGTCATATGCTCTGTAATTCCCTCTAATTTAGGAAGTACGCCTGAAGACAAAAAAAAAAAAAAATAGAAGGTATAGTGCTCATACCTTGGTGCTTCTCTAGGCTGTTTCCCCCTTGTTCTCCACACTCCGTGTGCTGGTCCAGCCCTAGCAGGTCAGGCATGTGGTGGGAGGTCCCAGCAAATTCCAATGTCAAAGTTGTTACTTCTCTGCAAAGGTATCAGAGTAGGTGCTGTATGCAATCACTGCCAAAAGTCAGATCCACCTTATATTTAGCATAGTATTGCAATTATTTCTGTGTTGGCTATAATTTAGACTATTGTTGTTGGCTCTTATTTACAGTTGTATTTTAAAAAAACGGAGGATAACTGTTTGGTGTCTTGGTGTGCTGTCTATAAACCCATGGGAATCAATCCACATGGAAAAGCTGACTTACTGCTCCCTTAACTAAAGGGCTGTTAAATTGCTGGTGATGCACTTTAATCATGCTAAGGTCAGCAGCGTTACCACCTGGAATCACCAAAGGGAGTTCCTGCCAGGTAGTTTCTTCCCTTTTCAGATAGTTTCTTTGCTTTTAAGAGTCTTGGGCTCAGCAGGGTGCGTTGTGGCACTTTGTGGCACTTCTGAATACTGTGAATTCCCCCTTGCCCCAAGTGCTTCTAAGAACTAGTTGTTTTGCTAAAAGCAGTTTTACTGAATTGTTCAGATCTGACCACACTGAAAAGCATGTAATTTGTGTTGATGACAAAAAAAAAAAAGGTCAGGAGCGTTGAAGTTCCAGTAATGGGGTTGAATATCCCTACTGAAATCCTACAGCGATCTGTATGCAGCTTCCATTATTAAATGAAAATTGTTGTCAGTGTGGCAGTTTGTGATAAAAAGCAAATCTGCAGGATAACTTGCAGTGTAACTATCTTTGTGGTTTCTTTTTCTGTATAACCATGGTGTTTACAACATGCATTTGTCAAGTTCTTCATGCTCTTTAACTGAAATAGTGGACATAAGATATCACAATGTTACAGTTGATTTTCCTTCCTATAGAAGAATAAGCTCTTGCAGTGTAAGCACATTGTGTGTAGTTTAACTGCGCAGGTTGTGGCTGGGGCTTGGGGGGTGGGATGGGTTTTAGTGCAGGGGAAAGGCAGAAGAATGTTTTATTGCTTTAACTGAAGTTCAAGTCCAAATGCAACTTACCAAGACCTGCTCTTCTGACACTTCTTAGGAAGTGCAGACTTGAGGTATGGGTTGAACTAGCTCAAAGCACTCGGCTACAACACTTACATTGCAGCGCAGATGGGAGATTGGCCAAGCATTGCTATTACTTTCCTCTTCTACAGACGTGGCAGTTAATGTGGAGTCCTAATTCAGAAACCCCAGTTTTGGAGGAGCTGAGCATTTACCTGAGATGCTGTGAACTCTGGTTCTCTGAATATGTCGCTGGTGTCTTGTAGTAGATGACAGTTCTTTTCTCTTACAGTGGTTTTACTATGAAGTGCAATATGAGAGAAAAGGTCCTTAGTAACCTTTAGCAGTCACTGCTGCATGTCTATTAGGAGAAGTGTTAAGCGCGGCTGTTTTTTGATGCCCAGACTAAAAAGGTTTATATGTTTCACTGTTGTTTTGGTTTTGCTTTTTTTTTTTTTTTTTTTTTTCTTCTGTGACATTGGTTGCTGTTCCTTAGGAACCTGCTGAAGCCTCACTGGCACAAGTGTACCTGTAGGTCAGGTTTCATTTACTAGATCCCTCTGCTTTTCAGCCAGAAGTTTTGGCACCAGTTATCCCCAGAAGCAGCAAATTTCTTACTTTGGTGGGTATTTATATACAGTATGGGAATGATGAGGCTCACAACTGCATAGTGCCGTTCAGCACATTATAGTGCTCTGCAGTGTGAAACCATATGTATATGTACAGTGTCTGTACTGACAGCCAGAGGTACACACGTTGCATTTACTCCCCAAAGTCTTTCCAGTTTAAGTGCCTCTTCTCAGTTCCTCCCAGTGACTCTTGTTCACTGACACACAGCACATCAGCCTTTTCTTCAGCTCTCTTCAAAAACCTCAGCATCCCTCCTCTGCTGAGATGTATTATCGAGCCAATTTAGCCTAAACAAAGCCACGACATGAATTACAAAGATCCTTTGGAGCAGCCCCCCGGAGTGTTTATTTCTTCTGAACGGTGGGTGTTTCCACAAAGACTGATACGAACTTTCTGCCTGTGTTACTTATTTATTACGGTGCATGACTGTGATGGAAACCATAATGCAGCTTGCCAGGGTCTGCTCCATCCTCCTGTGTCCAACATAGATTGTATCTGCTACTGAGAAGCAATCCGTGCAGAGAAAAAGTGACTGTTGGACAAATAGGAGTGGAAATGGGGTGGAAACTGATTGTCTCAAAACCCATCGGGGTAGCTCGCGTTTGCCTGCTCGCACTCTGCCTGTTCTGAGCTCCATCTTCCAGTCCTGGGAGAAATAACAAAATGCTGTCACTAGAGGCCTTCAGTGAAGGCTGACTGGTGTGGAAGATGCCATGGTTAAGTGATTGAAGAAAGAGCCAGGGCACTAGTCTCCATTCTGTCTTTGTCCATAAGCTGAGCAAGAAACTCCTCGAGTCCTGTGCGTGCTCTTCGGCCACCTGGACAGTGGGAGGCAGCATCAGGATCCTTGAAAGGGAGGTACTGCAAGGCTGTTTTGTCAAGAGCAGGAATGAGACCTACAAATGATATGGGGATGATAAACTGTGTTTGGAACTGCTCCAGAAGCACAGATGACCTTCAGACAGCAGCTTTTCTGCTCTGTAAATCCTTTGTTTATCTGTGCACTATGTCTGGAATTTTCCTTGCTCCTTTGAAAACAGGCGAGACCCTGCTTGTGGCTACATGGTGGTGTTCAGCCAGCAGAACAGTCAGCTGCCACAAGCTGGGTTACACATCCCATCAGCTTGCTCTCTGCACCTTACTGTGGTTAGTACAGGCAGCTGTTGTGTTTGCAGTCCTGTTTTTCTGTGCTATTTTACCCTGGTCACATGCACTTGCTGCCCACGCATCTGTGGGGACACCCCACGCCTGCCAGGCTGAGCAGGCGCTTCAAGAAGATGCAGCCTGCTGAATTCAGCAATTATCTTCAGCATCTCCGACTCCTAGAAGGCATAACCACATCTGAGGATCGCTCGGAGAGGATACTTGAAGAAGGCAGGAACACGTTGTACCTCTGGCAAAGATAAAGACTTGCTGTTCTGGAAAGAATTATTTCCTGCTCGATCTCCCCAGTACCCTTCCCTGCAGCCTGTTCCAGGTATATTTTTCTTGTTTAGAAAAACTCCATGTCTCGATATAAGCCTCCACAATCACCACAGTAACAGGCAGGAGCCCTTGCGGAACAACATCGATGTGTTTGCACTATTTAGAAAAAGGCATGCCTCACTAAACTGATGACTTGTTTTTGTGTCCTGCGCGTAATGAATTTAATTAAATCAAGCACATTCTATGATAACATAGGTTTATTTTTCCATTTGTACTGCGTTTCGGGAAAAACCCTGAAGTAAAGGCCTGTTACCAGTTAAGCAGCCTGTGATCTCGCTGTGTGTCCGCCTTTCCAGGGAGGGGGGAGACCTCCCATCCCTCCCAGGATGCGCCTGCCTTGCAGTTGGGAGGGGAGGCTGCAGCACCAACGTATGTGTTTGCAAAAAACCAGCAGGGCTGGCAGCAGGGGAACGGCTTAGGCTTCATCTCCAGCTTGAACAAGTACTTACTGTGTTGGGTCTAAGCTGGTGGCGACAGGGCTGGGGAACCAACTGCTGTAACCGCTCCAGGTTCCCAGGAGGGGCAACCGCCGCCTCAGCTGCCCGTGGTAGCTCCGGGAGGTTACTTAGCCCTTCTCCCAACTGCTTTTCATGCCGTTTGCTTTGCCTGTGGGATGGGAGCAGCCCTGGTGAAGGCAGCGTGCGCCCGCTGCACCCCGACACACGGAGCTCCCCGGAGAGGCCGCTCACTAGAGGGCACCCGCCGCCCGTGCTTGGCACGGAGCGGGACGCTGGCAGGTTCCTCGCAGCTCTGTCTGTACAGACCCAACCTTTGTGGCTGGCATAAATAGCTTGTGCTGAGGGACACGAGGCCCGTGGTTGGGGTTTGGCTTTCCTTACTTGCCTCTTGGTTTCACGGTGCTGGTGAAGACCAGCGGGCTGCATGTAGTTAGGAGGAAGACAGATGAGCACACTCTGCTCTTTTGTGTTGTAAACTAGCCCCACACACCCCCAGCAGTGATTCATCTCTAGTTGCTTGCCAAGGAGGAGATGCTGCTTCATAATGAAGAGCTTTGTAGGAAAATAATAAAACACCTGTGGTGGCCAAAGAGGAGAACCAGAGCCTGTTCCCCCACCCCTGACAGGAGGATACTTGCTGTCAGAGGGCAGAGCTTGCTGTAATTTTGGTCCTGCCCCTGTTCCCTGCTCTTGTTTCCAGGAGCAGCTTTAGGTAGGGCTGGTGTCCCAGATCACCTCTTAGCAGACAGCTGGGTTGCACCCAGCAGCCATTCCCATTCTGTCCTGCTATAAAACCAGCAATTACACTTGCTGGTAACCTCTGCCAATCTTAAGCCTGCAGGGAAGTTGATGGCTCTGCCCCCCACAGTCCTTTGTGTAACCTTTCCTTGCACCCTGCCAGCAAAACCAACCTGTCCCAACATGCTCCAAAGCACAGGAGCTGCATGAAGTAGAACATCTGTGTCTGTCCTGTTTGCCAGGGGCTCTTTGGTGCTGGTGAGATCCCCCACCCTGGGCGAACAGCAGCTCTGCCAGCAGCAGACAAAAAGAATCCTCCCAGCTTTAACAGAAAAGGTACTGGAGCAAGGTGGAGTTGCTCACCTCTGAATTTGACTTCCTAACAGGGGAGGCTGGCCAGATGCATGCTTAAAGGAGATGGCTGTTCATCTCGTACAGGAAACAACAGCATTTCATCTTCCTCGCAGGTGCGACCATGATGTGTTTCTGTGGGGAAGAAATACTATCCTGTATCTTAGAAAATAAAGGATCCTTTTTTGCTGTAGCCTGTTGAGTAGCCAGAGCTTGGTATTCCAACCCTGCTCAGCTTCTACCCTCCGAAGTCCCTCCACCTCACTGTTGCCTCTTTTTTCCTCTCATCTTCTGTAGGAAAACGATTTTTTGGGAACAGCGTTTGTGGCACTCCCAAACTGCCTTAAGCAGGTCCGTGCAGGAGCACCCTCTAAAACCTGTGCTCGTCATCTATTGCTGGGAGCCAGCGGCACTCCTTCCTCCTCTGTCCTGGGGTAACAGACAGCAGAATCCGGCCCACTGAAAATAAACAGTCTCAGTTCATCCAAACACCTTCCCCAGAATTGTCGGTGACCCAGATGCTAACGTTGGGAGAAATAAAAGCTCCCTGAAACCCAGTCTTTCTGGTGTGAGCCACCCCATTGCTGTCCCAGCCACCAGCATGGGCTGGGAGACCCCCTGAAGCTGTTTGGGGTCCAACTGGAGCTTACTGGGACGAGGAAGCCGACGGTGCGAAACCTCGCCAGCAAAGCGGGCTCAGCACCGCCGGTGTGAGCTGCCAGTGCACGAAAACCACCGTGGCTTTAAGAAAAAACACCAGCTTTTTCTTTTAGCAGCTAAAGCCTCATTAATTTGAAGACTGAAATGGCCACACAAGTGGGAACTGGCATCACAGTCCCAGCGGCGGGTCTGACCGGGGATTCAGAGGAACCAGTGTGAGACCGGGGGTCTGCGGAAGCTGGGCTCTGCTGAGCCACCTCCTGCACAGACGTTGGGGGGCTCTTCGATTTTTCACGTACATTTTGTCTCTGGAAAGCCAGACCAGCCTCCCCACGCTTTGCCTTCGTAGCTCTGTTTAATGAGGCGGCCGTGCTCTACCTCCGAGAGGAGCAGAGCCCCGATGCCCACCGAGGACTCGCACTTTCCCTGCGCGGCACCAGAGACATCCCAGTACCTCAACATCCTCTAGTTTAGCTGGTGGTAAATCAGGAAGGATTATTTACCAGAGAGATTTAGTGGGATGTTTAAAATGGCATGTAAATGTTTGCATACTGCTTTGAGCGTGGGAACAGCTTTACAAGTGCTAGCTATTGTTATTTTGCTTTGGAAACCATGTTCTCCTTAAAATCAATACCACAAAGAAGAATGCCTGAGCGAGCTAGCTAACTTGGTACGATATTATTGCCTTTAGCAGAGAGGATTGTAACCCCCACTGACACAGCCCTTTGAGCTCTGGGTGTTATTCTGCTCCGGTATAGAGCAACACTTACTTCACCATGAGAAAGCACTCTTACCTCTGACCCTTGCTTGCAAAACTCCTGTTTTCTGCTCATACCTAGAAATACGACGTGTTCCAGGCCTCTAAACTACAAAAAACAACCTCGAAACAACAGAATGCACAGAGAATACGTTGCCCTGGCTGAAAACACTCGTCCACATTTTGCCCTCAATGGGAAGAGGGCAGCCCTCGCTGTTAACCCCGTGCCACTGAGCTCGGGGTTGCTGACACTCGGCAACCCGGAGTGGGGTTAATGCTGGGAAAAGTTCAGGTAACCTCCCTGGCCCCGATTCTGCACGTGCTTCCAGGTCCTGCTTGCTTCCCGAGTGCTCGGGTAGGTGCTTTGGGTTTTATCTGGGAAGCAGGGGGGGCTTCCTGCCTCCACTCCTGCCACCGGCCCCGCGGAGCTTTTCCCCCTCCACCATGATGAAATGAACCCCTGGCTGCAAACTCTCATTTTTGGATTTCCCCTGTTTATTTTTTTTGCTCACCCTCGTGCCTTTCAGGAGCCCCAGCGGGCCGTGGGTGCTCGGGCAGAAAGCTGGAGCCTGCCCCAGCTGCTCCCCCCAAGCTGTGCTCAGCTGCCTGGAAGAAGCAGTTTATTCCTGCCTTGGCTGGAAGGGGATATTTTATTTATCTCCTCAGTGACTTTATGTGGATTTAATGTTCTATAGGTGCCACTTTTTTCTGTCTTCTCCCCCCTTTCCCTTAACCTTGTTTGTGTAATCACTGCACCCAAATTAAATATTTACTGTTTTTTCTACTGGTGAGCCTCCCAGTTGCCTTCCACTTTCAATTAAAGATTTACTAGGTGGGCATCAGCACTTCTGCAAGGCCAAACCAGCCCCCCTCGTTAGATTTTTAAGTGCTTCATTATCATAGTTCAGCGGAACACACCATAAATTAGATCTAAACCACACCAGCACGCACGCACTCACCCCGCAGCGCCTGGCTTCATCCGTGCGAGGCTGAGCCCGCAAGCAGCAGGGTGTGAGGAGCAGGGTGGGCAAAGACGTGTGTCTGGAGGGGTCTCCGGGCTCTGGCTTCCTCCAGGATGGGGTGGAGGGGGGTGGGGACAGCCCCGTGGCAGGGACACGGTGACACTGGGCAGGGCTGGGCCAGGCATCGCTCCCCCCGCAGCTCTGAGCTGAGGGATGGAGGGGAGCGGTTTGCCGGGCAGGACCGGTGCCATCCTCAGGCCACGTTAGGACAGGGCAGCTCACTGCAAAACGGGCAGAAATGGGACTTTCTCATCACTCTGCTGTAATGTTTAGAATTAACCAGCTTTTTTTAAAATCAATATTTTATTGGGAAGATTGCTGGCGTAATTCATGCTTCGAGCATCTTCCTTCCACGTGAGCAAAGCCTGGGCTATTAGGGATAATGCACTTTTTGCTAGTTACCTTTAGTGAACGAATACGCCTTTAAATTTAACAATAGAAATTTAGTCTGCGACCTCAAAACTTATAATAAAAAAAGGTGAGGGAAGCGGACAGGGCCAAGCAGTAGGAACAAAATGGCAAGCAGGAGCTCGGTGGCACGAGGCCCGACCAGCAAGGCTTTGGCAGTCGGGAGGAGGGGACGGAGCCGGAGGACCTGCAGCCCCACGCACGCACCGCGCTCAGCACCATCGCGGTCACACAACTGTTTGTCAGCGAGCGAGAAAACAGCAGGATTTCCAGGCGAGCCGAGAGGCACCAGCAGCTCCTGGCCCTTCCTCAGCTGCTGGGCACGGCTGCAACGCACGCTGCTTTTGATTTCCAAGCAGGAGAGAAAACGCTTTTAGCCCCCACTTTTTCCCCTCCCATACTCTTGAGTTTTTTGGGAAGAGCCCAGGGCTCGACACCACCAACCTCCCCCCTTCAGAGCAGCCGTTTCCTCCCCTCTGCCTTGTCAGCAGCCGAGCGGCTGTCAGGGACCTGCATTATTTATCTGCTTGGTAACATTTACTGGGATCTAGTGTTTAATAACTGTCACTTCAATATATCTTTTCTTAATCCCCTCAGATCTGTTGCTGTGGCAATTTTAAATATTTATCAACACAGTTTGTGTGTTCACTGTTAAGGCTGCAATTTTCTTGTAATTAAAGATTTACAAGACACTGCTCAAGATTTAGAAAGGATTGGCAAAGATCAAAGCTGCTTGGTATTCACACTAGAAGTCACCAGCTTTCCAGAGGTTTTTCCACAGGACCCTGATACACAGGTGACAGTGCAGACCTCCCCTTTATATTCAGTTATTTTTGCTGCTGCTTTTAGCTGGTTTTGCTGGCTCTCATCGCAGAGGTGGGAGCTTTTGCCCCTCTCCATGTCTCCCCATAGCTGGCTGGCACAGCCGAGTCCCTGCCAAAACTTTATATTCGTCAGGGTCTCATCCAGCCCTGGGGAGAGCCCCGCTTAGAGAAGGGCCCTGCTCACCCCGTGACAGCCCCACTGCCCGCTCCTGCCGCCACCGAGCCGGGATCTGGCTTGTTATTCCCTATTAATATTCATTCCCCATCAGCACGAGCCCTGCCTGCCTTTCCCTGCTCCCGGCTCTCTTCTCATTTAGCCACATGCAAATCCCAAATCAATTCTTCCCCTTCCCCCACCTAATTAAGATTTAATATGGTTCCAGGATGACTTGGGAGCAGTGAGGGTACCAGGGGTGCCCCAGGCGTCCTGCCAGGAGCAGACCCCGGGGTGGGAGCAGGGTGCCCCTCGCTCGCTGAAGTGCCACCTGGGTGCACAGCAGTTTCTTAATTATTTAAGCCTGTCTGGGACAGCACAAGCAGACCCAGCGGCCAGGAGCAAGCACCCATCTCTCACCAGGACCCGCAGCATCCACGGTCCATCGGCATCACTGATGTCTCCTGCGCTGCGCCAATTCCTTGCTCCTCCAGAGACCTCTGGGGCTGTGGGAGAAATTTAAACCACGGCTTTCCCCACCACAGCATCCCCCACAGATGGCTTGGCCATCGGGAGAGGAGCCAGTGCTGGTAAAGGAGCTGGGCTCCCAAAAATACTGCCAGGGGGAGGCGAGAGCTGCGAGCAGCCAGCCAGGGCTGTGAAAGCAGGCAGCCCCTCAGAGAGGTCAGCACTTTTCTAGCCTCAAACAGCTCTAAAGTGACCTCGTGCCACCTCTTCTGCCCCGCTGCTTTCCATCAGCCTGATTTTAGCCTCAATTGCCCACTTGAACACAGCTGAATCCATTTACTCGGGCCGGCTGGGCGGCTCTAGCAGGGGGCAGGAGCTGCTTCAGCTCTGAAAGGCTGGAAAATGCAACGGAAAATAAATGAGCTGCAATCATTTTTCCTCTGTGACTCCTACCTTTGCTTCTTCTTCCTTTATTTGGTGACTTCTGGGTGGAAAGGCCAAAGAAGCACTTGTCTTCTGACACCAGCACGTGCTTGGAAGGGGAAAAGAGACCAAGGACCATAAGTCACTGAGCAGCTCCCTGCCTCAGTTTCCCTCCCTGTAAATCAGTGGTAAAGGAGGGAGGGGGAGGAGCGATGAAGCATTTGAAAGAAGAGCTGCTTGCCATGGAGATTGACAGGTAGATTCTCCTAAAGGTTTTGAAAGCTGCACCTGCTTCATCATAATGGCATCATGCATATGGATAACCCCGCTGACATTTCCCAGGAAGGTCAGGTGTTTTAATTTAAATCATTTTTGAGGAAGTGCTGGAGAGAGGCCTGCTTTGGTTCTCTAACGAACTAACAAATATGTGCCTGTCACGCTCCTCCCAGACCTTGAAAGCCTTTGGTGCAGGCAGTGCAGCCCTGCTGCCTGGTGATGGGTGCTGAGAACAGGGCGTCGCCACTGTGGGGTCCTTGGCAGGTGCAAGGGCTCTGCGAAAGAAGGACACAATGATGGAGCCACTCCAAAAATCAGTTTTATTAGGTGCTTAAAATAGAGCCTGGCACGCGATGTTCTCGATTGGCTTTGTTGAGAGCAGCTCAGTTGCATATGAGATCCACAATGCTGTTTGCGCTGAGAAAGAGGAGGGGTAGAGGGCAGAAGAAGCAGAAACGAAGGCTTTTACTGCAATCCTCAAAGTGAAGGTAATTAAAAAAAAAAGGGGGGGGGGGGGGCGGAGAGAGAAATTAAACCTGATGAACAGCTAAAAAAGTGGTTTATGGGAGAGAAACCAGTGCCTGCACATGAGACCTGATGGGATAGGCTGGAGGAGAAGCATTTTCCAAACAAGCCTTTGACATCCCAGATGGATGGAGCGGGAGGACTGGGAGGTGATGGAGCCACCCCTGCTCACCTCTCCCACCCAAGTGGCCCCCCCCGAACCCCTGGGCTCAGCTGGCAGCAGCCAGGACCATCTCCCGGGCTTGAGAAATTTGGGAGCCCCTTCACTAGAGCATCTCTTTGAGAACTGCATCCCTGCCTGGTGCTCGGATAGAGAGACTGCTGTCCTCCACTACCGGTAAAGCTGCTTTAGTCTTTAATTACTTCTGCTGCTTAACCCCCCCCCCTCCAGCATCTTCTTTCTAAATTGAGTTAGCTGGCTCTTGCCATGCCTTTGGGGGGGCTCAGATTTAGGAGCCTTCTAGTTGAGAGAATCCTGGGTCAGACGCTACTTTCCCCTTTTCCAAAGCATCTCTGGTTCCTGCTACATCCTTGCTCTCTGGGCTGGGAGACAAGGCCCCACAGAGTGAGCCCGCCTCGGTGCCCAGGGGGCTGCTCCCCTTTGAAGGGGACTTAAGATGCAATTAGATTTTACTGTGCCCCAAAATCCCCATTTCCCCTGGCTGACACCCCAAAATAACCCTCATGTGCGCTAGCAAATCCTCCCCGGGTGCAGAATCCAGCCTCTAGGCAGAGGACAAGCTATAAATCCCAGTCACAAACCCTGTAAAACTTTGCAGCCGCTCTAATTCACCTGGCAAGGCTCATTCTTGGCTGGATACCTCCTGATGAGGGGTGTGAGCATCGCTCCCCAGCGCTGGGGTCTCGGCACTGCAAGGAGGGCAGTTAGCTGGGGCTGCTCCCCGCAGCAAACTGTGCTGAAAGCTGCAAATGCAGGGGGGTGAAACGTGCTGCGGGGCTGGTGTGAGACACACGGCTCCCCCCTGCCCTCCTCCAGTGAGGGCTGGCTTTAATTCAGCTGGATGCACCCGGTGGTGCCCTTTGGAGGAGGGAGGCTCTCCAAGCAGAAGGGACCTTGTCCCCCTGGGTGACAGGGGATGGTGCTGGTGAGACTCTGCCCACAGCTGCTCCAGCTCCATGTGCCCCGTCCAGGCTTGGACACGGGGGACAGGGGATGGTTTATGGAGCGTTTCCTCCAGCACAGTGCGCAGAAAAAGTTGGTTGGTGCTTTAATAATAAATACCAACAACAATAAATAGTGTATGAGGCACCTACGGTGCTCTCAGCTGCTGTCCTCGGAGGAAGTGAGGGGGTTGGGGTGGTTCATCGCAAAGCTCCTGTTTTGGGGCGTTGCGGGGGGTGATCTGGCCACCCCCTCCTGTGGGGAGCCTGGGCTGGAGACCCCACCCGGGACACTCGGTGCAGGGGACCCACTGGGAAACAAGTCCTGCAGTGGTCAGTGCTCTCCCTGAATGCACTGCATATTGCTCCTCACATCGCTCCAGTTTCAAAGGAAATCAAATTAATTGCATGTATCTTGCATTTTAATCTCTGGTTTGCAGGCATCGCTCTTAGATGAGAGCAGACGATTCAGGCAACGGCTGAACCTTCACCTCCCATCCCAGCGTGACGGCAGCAGCCACGATCACCCTGATCAAAGAGGCTTTTTCTCTACACCTACAAAATTACAGCCTTTGAGGGGCTTGGTCCTTGCTTTGTTTGGGAACAGATGATGGTTTTTGCAGGATGGTGAAGAGGGGGTGGGAGATGCAGGTGCTGCCTGGGGCTCAGCCCGTGCGTTGCAGGGATGAGTAGGATCAAATTGGGGACACGCTTACACCGGGGAAATTTCTCAGCAACTATTTCCACATGTTTCAGCACCAATTTAGCTGAACCACAGGGAATATATTTTGCATTTAAGTTTCCCTGCTGCACAAAAGGCAGAGGAGAAAGGCTGTTTCAGGCCCTGAGTCTGCAAACACTGATGGTTACACACCTGAGCGGAGCCAGGGCTCCGCAGCTGAATAGTCAAAGCAGATCATGACTCTAATTCAGCAAAGTATTTAAGTCCGCACGTAACTTTCAGCTTGTGCTTAGGGCCCCTGGCGATCTCGCCGGGTCCTGAACACATGCTGAAGTGCTTTGGTGAGCGAGCGATGGTGTGCTGAACGGGGACCGGGGAGAGCCATTACCCTCCGAAATAATTACCCGGCGAAAGCGCCGAAGCCGTTTCGCCTGCCTGGCTGAGCACAGAGCTTATCCAGCGGGGAACCATCTCGCCTTGGCTGGAAGATGAATGAGAAGTTCAAACAGCTTTTCACTGTGTCAAGGTTTCCCGGTCCCTTCAAAGCCCCGGGCACGCAACAATTGCACTGGCACAACCGGCTTCACCCGGGGGGGCACCGTGTCCGCACCTACCTCCGGGGGTACCTGCACCCCATCACCACCATCAGCCCCCCCCCCGGGTCTGGCTGGGAGGTTTTTTCTTGGTCTTTCCCCTGGAAGGACACCCAAGCGAGTTGCCAGCCAGGCTCTGGATGCACCCATGCCCACACCACGGGCTGCACTGGGATCTTCTGGGGCCACGCGTGTGTTGGTAAAGGCACATTTTGTTTGGGGTTGCAGTTAAGCTGACCCCAAAGCCCTTACCTCCAACAAGCAGGGATTAGGTTTAGGCCCAAGCAAAGGGATGGTTTGTTCACGTTAACCAGGGAAGGGAACGTCACTGGCAGCGTCAGAGCGGGCAGTGAAGCCTCACTGGCTGTGGTTCACCACATCCCTTGCTTTGGCACAACCCAGGGGGGGCTGGTGCTGCCCACCGCTCCCTTTCATTTACAATTTTAATTGTTTATCAGGGAAAGAATTGGCAACAGCCCAGGAGAGCAGGTTTTGCATCCCCCCCCCGCCACACACACACAGAGCGATGTGCGGGGGCTGCTGTCACACGGGGACTGTCCTGCAGAGCCCCCCCCCGTGTCTGAAGCAAGGGGGTCCTACCATGAAGCCCTCCAGCTGCAGAGCAGTATACAAAGGATATCCTTTTTTTTGTTTGTTTTTTTTTTTTTTTCTTTTTTTATACAAAACCAGAAAAGCAAGAACTTCCTCCCCCTCTTTTTCTTCCAATTTTTTTCCTTTTTTTTCCCCTTTTTTAACATTATCCACAAAAGTTTACAAAATAGCCTCGAGATTACACTTGCAGGATACAGGATCCAATCAACTCGGGCAGAAGCTGGCCAGCCCCGCAGAGAGGCCAATTAAGAGATGCATCACCATCATCATTTCTGTTTCTTTTGCCCAAAGTCCCCTCCTTTCCCCTCTGCTTCCCTCCGGCTGACAGCAGCAAGCAAACGACAGGGCAGCGGGAAGGCGCTGGGAGTGGGTGTGTGGTTGATTATCTGAGTGCTCAAAAAAAAAAAAAAAAAACCCAACAAAAAAAACAAACAAAAAGAAAAAGAAACAAATAAAAAAGAACATGTATCCCAAAGGGAAAGGCCTTTTCTGTATTTCCAAAACAGGGACTGTCCAGCAAAGGAGCTGACACCGCTGGGGTGCCTCGTGGTGCCAGGGGACATGGGGAAGGGGTGATCTGCTGATCATCTGTATGGCTCTTCGACCGCTCGGGGCATCGTCCCCTTGGGCTCGGGCCCTTCTGAGCCCTCCCGGCTGCCCAGCGGGTGCTTTTGGGAGCCACGCACGGATCCAGACCCTACACGCGGATCCAGATCCTGACAGGACCACGAAGCAGCTCTGCAAGCCCCGTGGTCAGCTCTGCTCCTCTCCATCTGCCACGCCGCTTCGACTCTTGGTCAAGTCCATGAAATTCCTCTTTTTTTTTTTTCTTTTTTTTGTTTTTGTTCAGTTTTGTAGTTTAGGGTTGTTTTTTTTTTTTTTTCTTTTTGTTTTTTTTTTTTTTTTTTTGGTAAAAAATAGTTTTTCCCTCCCCACCCCACCATCAACCCCATGAGCGCATCGGCCTTCAGCAGTCCAGGGGGGCTGCTTGCACCTCCACGGCCAGGAGCTGCCCCCCACGCTGCCCCCGAGCCCAGGGCTGGGCAAGGGGGGGATAGACCACGCGCACGGCCGTGGTGCCCCGGATCAGCTCCCCGGCCCTCCTGGGCTCTGCCCCGATGCTGTAGCGAGCTACGAGGCTGGCAGCAAGGAGCAGGAGGCAGAGGACCAGCACGGGCAGGAGGCTCTGCCTGCTCTCCAGGAGCCAGTAGCGGTGGGCAGCCTCTTTAGTCCTGGTGTTCACACAAGCCACCTTGGCCTGCAAGTCTACAAAGGCCACGTGGAGGCAAGCCCAGTACTCCGTGTCCTGGTGGAGCCGGGTGATGTTGTACGTGTGGGTCCCCATGGGGATCCGGGCCACGTTGGTCATGTCCAAGTCGGAGCTAAGCGAGAAGCTGGACCAGGTGAGGTTGGAGGAGATGGTGTTGAGATGTGGCTTCCAGGCAACCAGGATGTGGTAGGCCTGGACGTCCGCCACCACCAGCTCCAGGCCGTCCTCGCTGAACGGGAAGGAGTGGTTGACCGTCACGCTGACGCTCTTGGTGTCTGCCCCGAGGAGGTTGTGAGCCACGCAGGTGTACAGCCCAGCCTCCCGGGCTGAGATCCCCCGAATCTCCAGCGTCCCTTCGGGGTGCACCTTGTACCGCGCCTCTTCCGCGTAGGGAATCAGCTTCACCCCCGAAGGAGTGACCCAGTAGATCTCCGGGTCTGGCTCTGCCAGGGCTCGGCAATGCAAAGAGACATTGTCACCGTCCGCCACCTCCAAGCGGGAGGGGAAGCTCTTGGTGGAGATGAGAGGCAGGCAGCGATCTGTCATCTCCCGGAAGGGGACATCCCGAATGTGCCTCCTCTTGAGGTCGGGGGGCTCGGCGCAGAGCGTGGACTGGGGCTCGATGAAGCGGATGTGGTTTTCGGTGCTGTTGACCCAGCGGATGACACAGTCGCAGCGGATGGGGTTGCTGTGGATGCTGATCTCCTGGAGGTTGGGCAGGGACTCAACCGTCTGCTTATGCAAGGCACTTAGGGCGTTGTTGTTGAGCATGAGGGTTTCCAGTTGGGGAAGGTGGTGGAACGCGTTGGGGTGGATAAAGGACAGCTTGGGGTTGTTGGTCACATCTAGCTTGGTCAGCTCGGGGAGGTTGATCAAGGCAAACTGGTCTATGGACACCAGCTCCTCCATGTTGTTGAGCCCCAGCTCTTTGAGGTGCAGCATGTTCGTGAAGTCACTTTGCTTGACCCTCTGCAACGGGTTTTTGTTCAGATCCAGGAACTTGAGGCCAGGAACTTGCTGCAGCGCCCGCTTGGGGACATTCATGAGCTTGTTGTCATAGAAGGAGAGGCTCTCCAGGCTCCGCAGCCCTTCCAGCGCATAGTCCGAGATCTCCCTCAGATTCATCCCAGCCAAAACCAAACTCCGCAGGTTCGACAGGGGCCTGAAGTTCATATCCAAGATCGCATCCACCCTGTTGCCTCCGATCATGAGGATCTCCAGGCTGGGGAGCATCTGGAACCAACGGCTGTCGACCGTCCTCAGCAGGTTGGAGTTGAGGTGGAGGCGCAGCAGGCTGCCGAGGCCAGAGAAGGCATGGGGAGCAATCCTGCGGAGCTGGTTGTGGTTCAGGTAGAGCTCCTGCAGGTTGCCCAGCCCGGGGAAGCTGCCATCGGGCAGTTCTGAAAGCTGGTTCTCCTCCAGGTGCAGGCTGAGCAGCTGGGGCATGCTCTTCAGGCCAAAGTCCCAGACATCGGAGAAGCTGTTCTGCGACAGATCCAGCTCCGAGAGGTTTCTGAGATAGTCCAGCTCGCTCTGCTCAAGCCTGGCGATATTGTTGCTTTGCAAGAGGAGGGTCTGGGTGCCTTCCGGCAGATCTTCGGGCACGGCGGAGATGAACAAGTCATTGCAGTCCACCGTGGCAGCCTCCCGGTACACCGAGCGGGGGGTGTACCACGGCCGGATCTGGCAGACGCACTGCGGTGGGCATTTGACCTTCCAGGGCACGATGGGGATGGCGGCGGCGGCCACCACGCAGAGCAGAAGCGAGCTGGTTTGGAAGCGTCTCATTTTCGGCTGGTGGGACCAGCTTCCTCCCAGGCAGGAAAGGTTCACAGGGCGCATCCAGAGCGGGGCACGGGGCAACAGCCGGGTGGGGACAGCATCCGCGGGAGAAGATGCTCCATGAGAGCCCCTGGCACCGCTCAGCCCCTGCTGCCGCCTGCCCTGCCTGTCCCCCCCCACCCAGAGCACATAACACCCACGACCAGGGCCGGTGCCTTCAGTCAGAGCTTCGCTTTTTCTTCCTCCCCAAAAGATTCATTTTTGCACTCGGCTGCATATTTCGGGTTCCTCCTCAAGGTCATTCCTGCAAGAGGCCAGATGACAAGTTGGATTAGAGGAGACCTCACAAACGCAGTGAGCAAGTATCAAGGGGAAGAAACAGGCTGGAGGGGCAAAGCCCCGTGTACAGGGCCCCCAGCACCCTGCCCAGCCTCAAGACAAAGTAAAACGTTCATTTAATCTGTTTTATCTCCATAGAATTAACTGTGCCCTCCCATCCCACAGGTTTTGCTCTGCCCAGGGCCACCAGCAGCCCACGGACCCTGAGCAGAGCCAGGCCTGCAGACACTGGGAAGAGAAAAATCTCCCTGGGGGCAGTTTTCCTGCAGGCTCTCAGAATTCTGTTTACTACCTCTTATCCTCCCCAGCACCAAGTGCCCATATCCAGGAGCCCCCCAGCCCTATTTTCAGACCCCTAACATGTTTTCCCTTGGTGGGCTTACAGAGGAAACTTGTCCCCAAGCACAGACCTGGTTTTAGCATCTCTAGCAGAAGCCCTGTAGCATCGCAGGGACCACAGGCTCAGAGCTCAGCTTGCTTTGTACTGGGACAGATTATCCCAGACCCATCTCATCCTTTTTATTTCTCCACTAGCAAAGCAGTGGGCACACCTACCTCCACACAAACTTGGGTTTCAAGGCTTAAAGTAGCCAATATAGGAGGGGCTGCTAGCCCAGAGGGCTAATGTTAATCAGAAATCCAAGCTTTTAGGGAGAGCAGCACACAAACAAACACAAACTCCTGCATAATGAAGCTACAGCAGCCACAAAACCCCCCTACACACCCCCAGCTCCTTTTAAAGCACTGGTCCAAGGTGGGAGCAATTTTCTGGGAGCAGGAAATGGTGATTGGGCTCATTAGAAACACCTGAGGGAACGCAGAAGCCCCTTTAGCCCCTCCATGCTGGGCACAATCCTGGCTTTGCCCTCTTGCCTTGCACCCTTTCCGGGGAAGAAGGGTTGGGGGGTTTCTCAGTGGGGTGTTTGGTGAAGGGCTGGGTGGGGGTGAGCCCCCCGGCACCTCCCTGCCCCTCTCCCCATCCAGCCACGGGGTTCAGAGGAGCCAGAGCCAGCCACGACCCCACACTGATTTTCTGATTTGCTACAGTTCTCCTGACCCATGCTGACACAAATCAAACTGAGCCCCAAAGCTTCTCCCCGTCTTAAAAGACTCTCGCACAGCAGGAAAAAGCATTAAAAAGCAGCCAGAGTGGGAAAAGAAAGTTTCTCTCCAAGCAGCTCTATTTTATCACCTCCCTGCTCTCCCTGTAAAGGGCTTCCAACCAAAGTTTATTCAGCAGCAACTCATCCAAGCCTTGCGCCAGAATTGATCCCGCACACTTCCCTTCTTCCCTGCTGCGAGGGCATTGGCTTTTAAACCACCTCCTGGAGAAACAACATTAAAGAGGAAGGCTGTATTGATTTCCGCATCCTTCTGATGGACCCACATCTTTCTTTTTAAGTGCACAGGCATTTCTGTGACTATAAATCTCTCCAGCCATTAAAATATTATAGAATCTTTTCTCCTTAAAAAAAAAAAATATGGAGGAATGGGTTTTTTTATTTCCTTAAGGCTGTGAAGACAAGCCCAGAAAAAGCACCTTGTTTCAAACTCTGTTTTACAAGGAAGACTCCCCAGCCCTGCTGTAGGGCGATATCTCTGCAGGGTTTGTGTCTATAACCAGGTTTTATCACTTTTGCACAGGACGGCGTTGCGGCACCGACGGCCATGGAAAGTCTTGCATACAGGATGATGCTGTAAGAGTCCAGATGCTCTTATAAGTAATAGGATCAGAGTTGTTGAAAAAATGTAATTTTTTGGAAACTCTAGGTATTAAACTTCACATTTCATGGTTTCAAATGTCATGGAGCAAACCGAACAGGGAGGGCATTGGCAGAGCATGGTCCCCACTGCGGGGTACAAACCCCAGGAACAACAGTCCTGGCAGGGGAGGGAGCTGACCCCCCTCTGCTGTGACACCCCAGGGACCTGCACCCTGAATTCCTGCAGTTCAGCTGTGGGGTGGTGGGGAGATGGGGGAGGAAAAGGCAGGAGCCTGCTGGTTGTCTTTATTCCTTTACCCAGTGAAGTCAGGCTCGTTATTTCTTAATTAGGCACTGAAGAAGCCTGCAGGTTGCATGCACACTCATTTAACCTCTTACTGCACTGCCCCAGAGATGGATGGTGGGATGGACCAGGCAGCCCTGCGGCTCCCACGGCCACGGGTTCCCTTTTGTCATTTCCCCATTTGGGTTGGAACCCGCCGAGCTGCGACCTCGCCAGCCTGGGGAGCCGGGGGGTGTGTGGGGGGGGTGTGGGGCCAGGGCTGGCAAGGGTGAGGGATGGGGGTCCCGGGAGAGGGCTGCTGCTGGGGGAGACCCAGACATCATGCAGGGGAACGGCGGGGTCGATTCCCCACGCTCAACTTTGCTGTGATTTACGTGCACGCACTCACACGCACCCCAAACTCCCGCCCACCCCGTCCAACCGCAACTCCCCAGCAGCACCAAAGCACTCGGCGCGCCCCGAAAGCCCTTGTTTCCCCCCTCCCACCCCCAAAACAGGCTCAGGGCACAGAATAAGACAGAAAAGCAGAGGGACCAGGATTCGAGGCTAACAAATAGAGAGATCAGGCTCGAGACGTGGCTGAGGTTGCAAGGCTAAGTGGTGTCTCCCAGGGAGCCCAGATTTCATCTCCTCTCCAAGACAGACTGATTTGTTGCCTTTGCAGGCGGTGGGAAGATGCTGCCCAGGATAACGGGAGCCTTGGTGAAACCAGAGAGAGGAAGGGGGACAACAAGGAGGAGCAGGGTTGCTGGAGGGTCTGCTGGGGACCGGGGACCCCCTCCGCGGCCAGGCTGGGCTCCGGCGAGGCCATGAGCCCCCCGCTCCCCGCCGGTGCTGACAGCCCCCCGGCTGCTATTTCGGGCTCTTCCTCGGCGTGGGCTGCGGCACGGCGAGAGTGACAGCAGGGAGCCGGGTGACGTTCCTGCTCAAAGTTTATTTTTTTTCCAAAAATGTAGAGCCGGAGGGCTGAAACATTTGCTGCAGTGCCTCAAACACTGGGAAACAGAAAATACCCCCAGTTCCTTTTTTTCCCCAAGCAGGACTCAAGCCCCGTCCCCACACCGGGGATGCCGCTTGCCTCTTCCATAGTTTCCCAGCATTTACCCAATTCCTTGGTCTCCCTAAGCCATTTCTGTGACTTTTGCCTTCAAAGCCTCCTTACTGCAGGAAGGACAATGGGTGGATGGCTCGGAGTCCCCACTGTCCTCCCACATCAGCCTCTGCCATGAGCGATCGCAGAGCATCCAGCGGCCGGAGGATTCGGGGTTGGAGGCTCCGAGCCGAGGGCTTGGAGCAGCCACGGAATTACCGGTTGCTGGGACAAAAAGGCAACAAACGGCACCACTGGAAACCACAAACGGCTCTTTCTGCCCCCTCAGGAGGTGTTTCTACTCCTCTGCAAGTGAGGAAACAAGACACAAAGTGCCAGGGCACTGCCCCAAATGGCGCCAGCCTGAATTTGCCACAGGGCCACGACATCATCTGCGGTGTCACTTGCTGATGGGGGGCTCAAGGCTTTTGTTTCCATCCTAGCCAGGTGTGCTCAGGGACAGCGAGGGGATTACGGCAGAGAAATATGGAAGGAGAAGGAATAAGAGGGGATGAAAGCACCACAAGGAGATAAAGGAGAACCAGAGGTGAAAAGGAGAAGAAAAGGGACAAAGAAACCATCAGAGAATGAGTCCGGGAGAGGGAGACAAGATGGGAAGTGCAAGAGAGACAGGGTGTGCAGCGCCAAGGAGAGGGGAGAGTGGCTGTAGGAACAGGCGGCAGAAGCCCAAGGAAAGAGAAGGAAAAAAAAAAAAAAGAAAAAAGAAAAGCAATGAGAATGAGAATTGATGAGGCACAGAGAAGGGAAGAGTCTTTTCATCAGCAAGTTTGCTGGATGAAGCCAGGAGATAAATCACCCAGTGGAAGGAGCCTTGGTCTCAGTGCTTGCACCGGCTGCCTCTCTCCCTCTGTCGTCTGTCTAACAGCCTGGCTTCGGGAGATAAATGGCTGCAGCTGAGCCCCGGGCTCTCCTGCCCTTCCCTCTCCCTCTCTGCAGCCAGAAGAGCCCGACGCTTCCCCCAGCGCGCTGCCGGGCGGGGGGCGATGGACAGCCCCTACACCCCGAGGGGGGACGGGGAGGACCCCGACTGCTCCGGGGGTCCCCTGTCTGGGGGCAAAGCCAGGAGCGGGGCCGTGCTCAGCCCACGGCTCCTCTCCCACAGCGATGTCCCCAAGGGGGAGCAGACACCCCAGCCCGCGCTGCATCTCCCCGGGGTGTGGGGGGGTGTGGGTGTGTGTGTGTGAACTCCTGCCAAGCCCCTGTCTTTTCCGGGTGACGGTTTTAAGCAAGCAGCGCACACAGCAGCCTGCGACAGGGCCATCGCTCTCGAAGCTTTCCAGCGCTGCCGCGCTCCGGCGGCTGCTAAGCCTTCACGTCCCTGTCACCGGCCCTGCCAGCTCCCGGCGGAGGCAGATGAGAAGTGGCAGTCAGATGCTGTGGGAAAATCCTCCCCCCCGCCTGTCCCTGCTGCCTTTTGCTCTTTTCGACGGCGTGATTCAAATCTGCAGCCAGCCCTCGGGAGAAGATGTGTCGGCGGGGAGCTGGCAGCTCTGCTGAGTGCAGGATCTGGCCCTCATCCTGCCCCGGGGTGGGAGAATGGGAATGACCCGGGCATCGGCCCCTCCGGCTTTGGTGGGTTTGCAACCGGAGACATGCACACACTGCCGGTCCAGCCTCGTCCAGCCTCTCTGCACACTAAGACAACACTAGACCAAGCTGCACAGCCCCACCGTACCCCTGGAAAAGGAATATTTTTGGTAAATCTCCTCGCCCAGCTCTCAGCCCTGGCTGCTGGCAGCTCAGGACTTGCCATGGTGACACTCAGCAAAGTTTGTCCCCTCAGGCTGAGGTCACATCTCCCCCGTTTAAACCTTTGTGTAAAAGCTTCACTTTTATTTGTGATAAAGCCAACAAGAATTAAATAGGTTTCTGTATCAATTACTTATAAAATTTATAAATAGGGTACTCTGCTGTTACCGGAAACACTCCTATATCACTTTTCTAATCTGGAAGGAGATGCTGTATTAAACGCTGCAGGGCTTTGCTGTAATGGCCAGTTTTATGAGATTGTCTCTGGGGTCTTGCTGCCTTCAGGGCTGTCACTGTCCCTTGCCCTGGAGCAGCCGGCACATCTCCACCAAACCGCCACCCCCACCGGATGAAAACTCCTCAGGACCTCCTATTTTCAGCGGTGCTGAGCACCCGCCCCACAGGAGCCAGCTCCGTGCGGTTCACACATCTAAATCCAGGCTGGGGGAGAGAGGAGAGGGACCGTGTGGACGCCAGGGTCCCGGCAGACCACCCTACCCCGGCTGCCGTCACGATGTCAGCTGGGACCGTGACTTATTTATGTCATTTTTATAGCAGTAAAAGCTGTAGTGCCAATGCAAAATGAGCCCTCACCTCCCCGCGCCGGGTACCTCGTGCCTTCTTGGGAACAACGCCAGCACAGGCACTTTGTGGATGTGTCCACCCCGGGCCAGCCGCTGGCGCCGGGGCAGCTCTGCCCATGGACCCTGTAGCTTCCCCGGGTCCCCATCACCTCCTGCCCCCACCACGGAGCGCAGGATCGGGCCAGCCTGATCTAGATCTAAAAGTACAGTTACAGTATGGCAAATACATCCCAAGGGATCATTAAATCGCGTGCATTCCGGATTAGCCACTTATACAACTGTGATACTAATGGTATCTATTAGATAGCTGTTAATCTTGAATAAATGTTTTTAATGATCCACTGCTTAACATACAATAACTGAAGTATTAAATCTCAGTTAAGCTGCGGAGGTCAAGTCATTATCTGGTGGCAAGGAGGATGTGGAGACATAACTATGGATATCATGAAAAGGAAATATATCCTGCAAGTGTTATACAGGTTCTTGAAAGGTTTTTCTGGGGTAGGGACCAGCCAGCGCCCTTGGGCGCTGTGGGGGATGGAGCAGCGATGGATCTGGGATGTGGGATGAGCCCTGGGCTGAACATCCCCACGTCCCTGGGGGCAGAGGGAGCCCCACAAGTCGCCATCCCCAGGGAGCCTCACCCATGCTGCTCATAGGTTCCTATGGATTTTCTCCATTTGCACCATCAAGGGGAGGAAAGAGTAGGTGAGAAGTAGCCAGGCAGCAGGAGGGATGCCTCTGCAGGCATCCTGAGCTCGCTGCAGCTGATACAGGGATAGAAAATGGCAGGAATTGCTCTGGGAGATACCTGATGCTTGAGCGAGGAAACCCATTCAAGCGCCGTGGCCCAACATCCACCCAAAGCTTCACTCGGTCACAGGAAGCAACAGTCTCTCCAAGTCAGCCATCCGTGGCTGGCAGGTCTCCTCGCCAGGTCTGACTTTCCTTCCCAGCCCGTCGATGTGTCACACGGCGGTCGCACCAGCCAGCGCTGGCGACATAACGTGAGAAGGAAAACTTCACACACAGGGAACAGAGCACCAGGGGGTTCAGTGCAGCTGGAGACCTCAGCAAAGCCTTGGCTGAGCTCGGCTCTCCCATGTCCTGGGCTTTAATTTGCTCCTGTCGCTGATGGAAAACCCCTTCAGGCAAAGACGTGTACAGGGTAACCCCTGGCACTGTGGGTCAGGATTTTGGGGCTCGGTCCTCATCTCAGACCCACACTGGGACTGTCGGAAAACAGTTCAGGCTTGCTCTTCCCAAGTACTGTGTCCTTACAAACCTGGCATGCAAGGCAATGGCAAAGCAAGTGCTCGGTGTCTTTGCAAGCCAAAGACATCCCCTGCCTCCCGCCGGTAAAAGGGGGCTGGGATGTTTCAGCAGCGCTGCTGGGGAGCTCATACCTCCAAGCAAGCATCCTCAAAGCCCTGGGGTGGAAAACCAACTGCTCTGTTCAGAGCAAAGATCTCGACATAGACCTTGGCAGGGAGTTTACTGCCGCGTCAGAAAACAAACAAATAAATAAATAAAGAAAAGACACCGAATCTCCCCCTGTAACGTGGCAACCGCTCCCCCCGCACCCACGGCAGCCTCCCTCATCTGTATGCTCCGTCACAGCCCCGCACCATCCGCCGGGTGAGCACCATGGCAACACCGTGGTCTTTAAACACAGGAGTTTGTGCTGCGATCGCAAACAGCATTAGGCAATTTAATTAAGCAGCTGGCAAAAGGAAAAACTTTGCCTGTTTGAGGCGTTTTATTAAATTCCGGGGTATTATGCAGCTCTGCGTCTTCGCTGTCTGGTTCGAGGGGTGGGAGGATGCTCCTGCCCCGGCCTTTCTGCAGTTTCACCCCTGGCTAAAGCAAACAAACAAACCCAAAGCGAGCGTGGCGGCGGGTGCGGAGCACGGGGAGCTCCCACACCGGTCCCTGCACCCCACCTTGTCTGCTTCCTGCACCCATACACGGGGCCAAGGCAACAAAGCCCTGCTCCAGCCTCGAGATGTAATTTTAGGCCCTTATCCCCCGAAATGCATCTACACGAGAGAGGGAACAGGCCCCTCCAAACCCAGCAGCACCGCGTTGCTGCTCTGCCAGCTTTTCGGGTGGTTTCTTTCCTCGGTTAACCTTTGTTTTGTGCAGAGAGACCCAGGGTGTTGTTTGTGGGCCTTCTCCTGCTTCTCTCCTGGCAGAGAGGGCGATTGCGTTATTTCTCCTTGTCTAGGAGGAAGCCAGGAGATAAAAAGCTGCCGGGAGTGTGGAAAGCAAACCACTCAGCTGCCTGCACCTCGCTATTGCGCCGATCTGCCAGGAGCCGGCGGGCAGGAGCAGCGCCTGCTTCTTATCTGGATGCTTCTCTCCCTCCACTTCGGATGTTTTTTAATGAGGAGGGCTGGGAAATAAGCCTGTTGTTCTTCTTCTTTTGATTTCAGGCTCTGGAAAGGTTGCGGTGGCTCTGCCTGCCTCCGAAACACTCCCACAGGTCCCTGTGGCTTTGCGGAGATGCTGCTGCCAGCTTCAGGCACAACCTCCAGCCTGGAGCATGCAGGATTTGGCCCTGCTCAGCCCCAAACTGGCCACGCGGCGCTGAGCACATCCCAGAGCTGCTTTTGGTCCCACACTCCTCGCCTGGGGATAAGCACTGTCCCATCCCACCAGGACGCCGAGGGACTGGGTGCCTCTGCGGCCGGGGAGATGCTCAGGGAGGAGCTGGGATCCCTGGGCCGGGGGTCCCTGCAGAGCAGCTTCTCCAAAACATGGCTCAGCGGCAGTCAGGCTTTCTGAAGGTTTATTCCTCTTGGAGATAATCCCCAGGGTCCTTCCCCGCCCCTCATCTCCCTCGTTCTCTTTGCTTACAAAAGTTGAGACCATGAGACCTCGGTGAGGAGCAGCACCGGGGCAGTGGGGACAGATGCTGAGGTGGCACCCGGCTCTCCCTGTGACACCCAGAGCCAGGACCGGGGTCCTTAGTGGGACCAGGAGCTAAATCCACCTGCACTGCTCTGCCCACTTTGAAAGGCAGCTTTGGAGGTGCCGAGCTGGTGGCACAGGCTCTGAAGGCAGGAGGTTTTCCCCCTGCGTGCGGCATGATCACATCTATGGGAAGCCTCAGATCCATTATTTTTCAGCTGGGCAGCCCTGCGGCTATCTCGTTTTACTCCTGAGAATCAAAGGGCTGGGCTCCAGGCCACGGGGTTAACTGGTGCATTTGTAAATGTCTTGCAAAATCCAACTGGAAAAGCTGGCTGATCTCTGTTCTGGATTGCCTGAAGAAAGAATAGACTGGGAAGATGGAGTCTCGGTCTCAGCTTGTAGCTCAATTGTCCATTACTCTGTAAAATTTGTGTTGTTTAACAAAACCTGTGCTGCATGGGACTGCAGCTCGCTGCATTTTTGGAAGCATCTCTACTGACTGGCACCGTCTCCGGGCTGCAGCAGGAGGTGAGCTCCAGCTGCACACAGCGGGACTCTGCGCCTGCAGATCCCCCTCCCCAGCACCCCTGCGGTCAAATGTCAAAGTCAAGAACATCCCGGGCAGAATGGGGATGGAGAACGGGGCAGAGGGGTCAGGCAGGGCCGGGGCTGGTGAGCTCGGAGGGCTGCCACGCTTGGTTTTGTAGGCACCAATCTCATCCCCCTTGCCACCATCTCTTTTGCAATCTGAAGAGCCCTGGCACATTTTGCTCTTCATATGGGGCCTGTTTCAGCGCTCTGGCCATCTCCGTTTCCCGGCCCAGACCCTTCCCATCCCTGCAGGAGAGCCTGCAGGCACTGCTCAGATCGCAGGCGTATCACTGGCTTTGGTCTGCTGCTTTCTTTATTCCCTAATAATCCCCCGCCTGCCATGTGCCCTTTCTGACTGCTGCTGCACCGTGTCACTGTTTCCAGAGCTATCTCCAGGATCTTCTTCCTGAGTGGCAATAGCTAATTTAAAGCCCTTCATTCTGTAAAAGCCATCGTGGAGCCTCTGAGAGCTGAGTGCGCAGGGTTTCAAATGCCATTTGGCTCCTTAATCACCCAGAAGCTTTAGAAAATGCTATCTGTGATCAACAAAGCTCCCAGTCCCCGGCATGTGGGGAGCTAAGCGGAGCTGCGCGCCCCAAACCGCAGCACCCACAGAGAGCTCCTACTGTGCCAGGATGCTCCGAGCATCCCGAGCCCACACGCAACTCTGCTGTGCTTGATTCCCACCTGCCAGCTCCGCGGTGAACCCCCAGCTCGCAGACACCCCATCCTTGTCCCAGGACCTTCCTGGCGAGGCTCAGCTCCATCCTGCCCGGGTCGGAGGCAGAAAGCATGGCCCGGCAGCAGGGAGCCGTGCTGCAGTCACAGCCTGTCCCTGGCACTGCCGTGCTGTGGCTGAGAGACAAACAGCCCTGGCACGGTAACGAGCTCCCCCAGTTCCTCCTCCCCACCGTGCTGTGGAGCAGCGTGTTAAATAATTCACGTGAGCTCCTGAACTGCCTGGAAAACACCTCCAGTTCTTTCCTAATGAGCTCGCTGCAGACCCTTCGTGCAAGGCTGGGGGAGCAGGGAGAGCCAGTCCCTCTGCCAACACACAGACACCGAGCAAGCACAGGCCACCACTGTGTCCCCAAATGCTGCAGCATGGCTGGTTGGCGGCTCCCCACATTTCTGGGCCGTGCGCGCTGTACCAGGAGCATCTCGCAGCAGGATGGAGGTGGCCGGGCCACATCCTGGCTGGTGCAAAGCAGACCAGGAGCTGCATCGGTGCACGTAGCAGGGCCACGATGCACAAGCAGCGGTGCCAAAGCCAGGCGGATTCAAATGAGGCAGAAACGGTCAATGTAACAGAGAACAAAACCTGGAGCAAAGGCCTCCACGGGGAGATGGGCTCTGCTTGCTGGTGCTTTCAAAGCCAGATCCTTCCAGCATGGCCCAAGCCCTGCAGGGCTGGCATTTCCCTGTGTCCCCTCATTTTCCCCCTCCAGCTGCCCCTTTCCCTTGTGCCAAGCCCTGTGGTCCCCTGGGCAGAGTCCGGCCACGTCCCCCAGCTCGGCGGGGGGGCAGGAGTGGGGCACTGCAGACACAGCCCCCCTGCACGCTGAGGGACCGCTCAATAATGTCACTCGTGCCATTAGCAGGGCACTTGTCCTGCTCTTGCTGGTCATTTTCTGGTTCTCAGTGGCAGGCTCCAACGACAGACACTGCTGCTGCGACACAGCTCATGACTGGGAGCACTGGGGACTGGAGGAAGAGGAGGAGGAGGAGGGAGCAGGGTGGGTGGTGGGAGCACAGGCCAACACATGCATCCTCCCGGGAGGGAGCGTGTCCAGGAGGGAGGATTCGGTCTCACTGAGGTTGGCTGCAAATCCGAGGTTTAATATTTGCTTGGCAACTTCCTGCAAGGGGGTCAAGCCTACGATAACAAAGCCTGCTGCCTGTCAACGGCGTTTTGTGCTGCTGCTTTGGGGCTACGGGAGGGACAGAGGGTGAAAATGCACATGGTTAGAAAGCGGTGGGAAAATAGGGGGAGATGGAAAGATCCCCCTTGGGCTACAGCACTGTGGTGGGCTGCTCTCACTGCCCAAATTCCCACCCAACTTCCATTTCAGGGGAAATTTCCCGCGGCTGCTGAGCTCCTCTGCATTCTGGGGAAAGTCCCAATAGTTCCAAGGAGCTGTAAGAAAACCACATTGATCCCTGAAGGCAGGAAAATCCAGGGGATCCCCAACTCTGGAGGCACCAGCCCCGGCCCTGCTCTAGCAAACCATTCTGCCTGCTTTGTTCAGCAGGACCTCAGCGGTGGGTGACCCACGGGTGACACTGCAGCTTGTCCCACTCGTGGTTTCTGGGCGGAGGAGCATAGCTGTGAGCTGAGCCTGAGCCCTTGGCCCACCACAAGCCAGAAACTGAGCAAGACCAGCATGAGCTTGTCTGGAGAGCCCTGGCCTGGAAAGCGAAGCAGACGCGAGTCCCAGACGGCCCTGCCAATTCCAGATAATAAAAAGGATATTTCACACATCAGGCACTTCGCAGACATGTTAATGAGAGCAAACAAAGGCTCCACGATGCAGATTAGGGGATGCAGGATGGGCTCTGCTGGTCACAGCCAGCCCAGACACTGGGCTTTGCCATCCTGCTCCTGGGGACACCCCTGGGAACATCCCGGGGACCACGGCCGGTCTCTGCCCTCCGGCAGCTCCACGAGGCTGAAATGCTGCTTTGGAGAGCAGCACCGCAGGGCTCAGCCCTCCCCGATCCCCCCCTGAGCAGCTCGCACTGGGATCG